ATTCTGATTATACTTAATACAAAGTAATACTGAGTTTGTCAAATGCTTCTTAACTTCATATAGAACTGAAGTGGTACCCCTTGCATTCGTTTGACTACACTTCTTAAAAGAGAGCTTCGTCTTCACTCTTTTAAACTAAAATAAAACTGTGAACTCACCGCGCCAATCAGTGTTCGTCGGCCAAATTTGACCAACGTTCTATATATGGTCATCACTTCTGACGTCATCACTGAGCCCGGAATTGACCAATGATATGCGCATATTTAATTAGAACGCATTTGGCGTATGTTTCTTCAAGCTCGCTGATTGGTGGAAGAAAGGTCAGCGCGTAGGTCAGAAGTGATTTACTACCCAAACTGTCACCGGTACCCATCGCGGGGGCGGGGCTACTAGACTGTAATATGATCTCTACTAGGTAGAGTGTAGTTTAACTAGACTCTGCACGCAGGGTACTAAAGTGGAAGAATGTTCTTATAAGATCTGTTGAGTCTATAGTCTGTTGAGGTATGTAAGTCCCAGATCAAGTGAATAGTGACCTTTGAACCATGAAATATGTTTTTATAAACTTTTATATACAAAGTAATACAAGAAAGAAGGTTATCTCTCTGTTAGATTGCCCTTGTAAGTTTGTACTTTTGCAACAAGAGATCAGCTGTTTTAGCTAATGCATCATATGGCCATAGCTAGAAGGTGCAATGAGGCATTGTTTTTCTATCAACGAGTAAATTTTTTTCTGTCAACAAAACAAAAAGAGAAAATTTCACAAGGGGGTGCAGTGAGGCTAATTTATTCTCTCAATAAGGTCAATTTTTTGTCAATGAGGCAAAAAATTATCATTGTCCAAACAAACTTTTTGACCCTTTAATATACTGCCATGGGCGTAGCGCTATTTTTCTAAGTAGTACGCTACCATGACAGGAACAAGAGTTGAGTGAATCAAAAAACGAGAATTTGGGGGGATCTGGGGGTTCTCCCCCAGGAAAATTTTGAAATTTGGTTGTATTTTGAGCGAATTTGCAACCATCTGGTACGCCTATGCATACCCAGCGTACCGGGCGCTACGCCCATGACTGCATAAGGCAGACTTGAACAGCTAGTCTTATATGGTACAGATGATAAAGCAGGCCCAGAGCCAGGAGGAGGGAGCTGATATCTCCTAAAAAAATATGGACCTAAGCCTACCTTTTTGCCAAAAAGTGATGTCACAATTAGTACAAAAGATTAAAACTTGTTGACTGTATCATCCCAATAGATTATACCTATCCACGATATATTTGTAATGTGTTTGACCTTATTTTCTATTTAGACCTATTTTTAATGCCAAATTACAATGAAAGTAAAATGTTTTCAAAAAGTAAACCTTTAATTTATTATGAATGAAGGAATTACCATAGATTTTCCCAATGTGTGCCCACCTAATATATGTCAGCATTGAATACTGAAATAAATGACATATATTACATCATGCAAAGAAACTTCGAAATAAACGATAATTGATGTCAAAAATATGGCAACCATTATTGCATGTGGGAAGGCAATATATTATTTTCTGAAGAATTCGGAATGCACTTTTACCATTTATCCTGATATGATTGTAATTATGTCAGGTTAACATAATTTCACTCACAAATAAATTTTGACAAGGCATCAAGACATCTTTGTTCCTTTTACTGTAGAAATTGTTCAGATGAAATGATTCTAATGGAATATGATATGCAGTAGTATGAGCTTAATAATTTAGGTATTTTCCTAACTTTTTCATCATATTAAACCACGGGCTTTCAACTAGAGTTAGTTGAAAGCCCATGATTAAACTGGCTTCCAAATGATTGTATTTGTATATTACATTCAGAATAACCATTGATGACTGTCATAATTCTAATGTTGTTGTTGTTTTGAACGAGTAGATTGAAACCTCAAATGACCCAAACATTTCAGAACAAGTTTCCTTATATAATCTCGACCATAACAAGGTGATGGCAACTTCTTATTCTATTTTATTATATAATTTATAGTTTAGCTCTCATGTACACTGCAACTCAATGACCGCAAAATTGTCGTATATTTAATATTCAAGTACAATATTCAAGTACAAATACAATAATGTATAATGCGTACAATGTACCAAGTCCAATCAAATTCCAAAGTTCAATTGGTGGCATTTAAAACATAAAAATAAAACATAAATAAGAGGTGTCCCTTAATATTAAAACGTACGAAGCATTCCAAAATAGAAACATTTTAAAAATCCCATCAGATTCTCAGTAGGTTATTTTGAAGAAATTTTTCCTAAAATAGTCTAATTAAGTGATTGAATGTCAGGTGTAATTTAGGGACACTTCTTATTTATGTTTTATTTTTACATTTTAAAGTTTAATGATGGATAATACCAATTGAACGTTGGAATTTTATTGGACATTGTATATATTATATTTGTGTTTTGTAGTTCGTAACATAACATTGTTCCTTAAGTATGTATAAGTATACTCCCTTATTTGTTTTGTATTGAATAGCACTTGACTTAAAAATATCAGCTGATTGCGGATTCGTTTTTTCACATACAGTCTTCAATGACCTGGTTACCAGTAAATGAATTATCGTAGCATTCACGTTTCATTTCATTTTCAATACAGAGTTGAAAACGGGAACATTGATGTCAGGAGGACAAAAGAAACAAAATGTGACACACAGAATGATCTCAAATTTTTTAGACTTAACTTTCATTGAAATTAATGTATTCTAATCAAATTCAGGTTAAAAAAAAGTATGTTCGAATAGACGAGACTTCATTACATTTTGATAAATTGCACGTATTCAATGTCATTTAGGTGTTAAAAGTCATCATGGTTCTTTTCAAATCTTTTGTTTCATTTGCCATTGTTTGAAAGAGAAAAATGATGTTTATTTTAAGTGACTTGATTTGATACCATCATGCAATGTGCGTCACCAGATTCAAGCTTTGAAATAAAAAATAAATAAATCACAGACTATTCATATTAATCTACCTAATTTTTGTAGTCTGATTAATAAACCCAATGTAAAAATACATGTATAGAATTTGAATGCTACATATAACATAATAAAGACCTTGTCTGTTCCTGATCATTTGTTAGAATTAATCACAATCCATCACCCCTCGACTAAAAAATTGGTTTGTTATTTTAAATGGGGGAATAATTTGCTTAATTTTAATTATGCAAGATATAAACAAATAGATATATATACTGTATATATAACATTGGCAGTAATTTTAGACAGCAATTATCTAGGGTCGTTGACTAACTGATTAATTATAAATTTATCTATATTGCTTAAAAACGTGTTACATCTCCGTCTAAATAGTTGACTGGATGGGTTGAGTCCATGGAAGAGATAATATTTTAGGTCACGTTAATATTTAACAATTAAACATGGAAATATATATATTGCCAAAAATTTGGAAATTATTTTTTGCAAGATCACCTGTATATCAAGGTAACCTTGTGAACAGGTGTGTGATGACCAGACAGGTGTAAATTGTAGTTCATTTTATAAATCCATATTCGTTACAAAATTCAAGTAAATTGTCTGACATTCTTAAATTACATACAATTTTAAATCAGACGTCATTTACAGTATGATAGCATTATCTTTCGCTACTTTGATTCTATTTTACTTTCAAAACGTGACAATTGTATGTTATTAGATTTTCATCACTTTGTTGAATTACAGTCATCATTCCTAGAATTGGCCTCCTTTTGAGGGCATTTTAACCTAAATTGTCTAATTGATTGTCCGACTTTTTGAGGTAACCTCAGTACAAATTAAATTGGGTTAATCGTTCTGTTTTGTTTTTTTATTTTTTAAGATCTGTATAAGATGTTGATTTCCTCAATGTAACCACATTGGCTTATTTTGATGAGTAAATTCTTTATGATTTATGGGTGGTTTGAACTATATATGGGATGTACTCGTTTTAATGCCATTGTGAACATTATATCTATAATGGTCATCATAACCTGTTTTAACAGAATTTGACTAAAGTGATGTTTCATGATTTAGGAAAAACTATACTGGAAAATTGAAATTCTGTAAATATTTCATATTGCAATCAAAGCATGGCAAACTTGGGTGAATCTACAATAGAGAAAATTACAATTAGAATGACCATTTTCAGAAATGTATCACTTTCAAGAAATATAAAATTCCTAGGTAAGAGTAACTAAGAAAATAGAAATCCTGTATGCTCCCATACCAAAATTGTTAAGATGTATGGAAAAAAAACATAAAAATGAGACATCTGAACTGTAGAAAAATAATGGTCATTGTGACCTGACTTAACGGTCATAAGAAAGGAAAATGGGTTATCTGTCAGATCAATCCTCCTTGTGGCTGTACATACAGGTCAGACCTGTAAAGATTTCATAAATATGTAAAAGCAAAAGTAAAACTTGTTAGTAAATATTTATAAAATGGATTAACATTTTTAACATTTATAATACATGTATTTATAAAATATTTTAACTTATGTACCTGTCATGTTGGATCAAATTTCAAGAATAAAAAGTAGCAAGTTGGAGTTCCCTTGATATTCAAAAGTGAAAAGTTTAAGTGAGGCTAGATGGAATTTTGATAAAACAAGATGAGAATATGATATGACCAAATTCTATGACATTTGCACCCTGAATTTCATAGTAGTTTCTAATACTGTTTAAAACATTCATATACAGTATACATGTGTAATACATGACTGCAGCTTATTTAAAAATGGAGTGTCTGTATTTTGTATTTGAAATCACATTTCAGTTATTCTTTAAAAAATCAGTATCTTAACTAATATCATACTCTTTTGTATAGAAAATAAACTTCTCTATATTGATACCAAAATGCTAACTTAATTTCTCTATTTTTAGGAGGGGCCCTGCAATCCTGCTCAAAGCAAGTGACAAAAACAATAGTGGTTGTACCTGGGAAACATTGGGACAATTAAAACACTGTCAGTCATCTTGCATCGATAGAGTATGATATCATGCCGCCCTCCCGCCACTAAGGCTGATCGATATGGTACTATTAACAAGGGGCCTGGAGTCAATAACAGTAACAGTGGCTTGTGGAAGCTGATTGGTTAGTATCTCAGTTAATGTATTCATAAAGTTCAAGTGTATGTACTGCTGTATTTTGTGTGATATCAATTTGTTTGTACTTTGTACTGATCTGACAGATCTGTTTTAACAGGTTAATCTGTATGTTAATGACTTAATTCTGTTTTGCAAAATTGTTTTTTATGTTTGTTATGACTTGTAGAGAAATTAAAATATGGAGGTTAATTATTGTAAAATAGGTGCAAGTAGATGGGTGGACTTGATTGGGTATTGTGTGTATTGGCAAGCTCTGGTTGTATCAGTCATTTACCTTGCCAGCCAATTATGACCTAATTGTGTCCTATCACCCCTTTGGCTCAGATTTAATCTGGTCCATTCCAGGTTTAAAAGACGGAGAGATTCTACATTTGGTCATAGACTTGATGTCACATCGTCATAGACAGACTGACAACGCAACAAAAGGACCAACAGCGCAAAAAGATTTGTGAAACAGATACAACTTGGAGAAAAATATTCGAGAACAAAATAACCGAAGAAAAAATACTGAAATAATCTTAGAAGAATTGTCACTGCAAAGGTAAGTAGATTATTGAAAATATAGATTAAAAACATATTTTTTCTTTGGCAATTCATTTTAAAATAAAAAAATAATTGAGATTGTATGATTTTTTGTAGGATAAGATACATTACATAATAATCATAGATTAAAAAATCAACTTCAGACATATCAACGACACTGGTGAATTAAAATTTTAAATACATATAATTGCAATTTTTTATTATTTTCATCAGTTGGTAAAATTATTAAATTGTAGCCTACACAAACATTTTATATAATGCCCACAGAGATTTTTTATTGTATCCTTTGTCATTTGTACTGATGTTGATATTGGGTTTCATCAATACCATATCGCCAAAGTAGAAAAAATACTATTGCACCTATTAGTATAAACAATATTTTAATTGTTACTTCATTTGCTTCTCTAGATTTTATTGACTTGAGTAAAGAGAATGCTAAAAACCATTCCTTTAACTGATTAAATATTGGATAACACTTTATTTTCCTTGAAATTTAATTTTTAATAAAACATTAAGGTGTAAATTAAATATCTGATATATTTACATTTAATTTGGCAAAACACAATTTTCAAATTAAACAGTATTCTGGGAAGTTTAGCGTCTATTCAGCATCTATTCAGTGAACTTTGTAAATGGCCTATTTAAATGTGAAAACAGGACATGTACATCTTTTTTTTTTTAATTGTTATCATCGTTGAGTATGTTAAGTGTTCCTCTCATTTGAAGCTGAAATTGTCATTATTGTTAATGAATACAGTGTAACATTACCTGACATAAGTATTCTTGTAATATGTAATGTGAATATTGAATTGTACCTCAAATCATTGTTTTTCTTTCTATGAAAAGGTAAATCAAGTTCATTTTGAAATATTTTACTAACTCTTGCCAAAATTTTGAGATAATACTGGTGACCTTAAAAATAGTATGAATAGCACAATAACGCAGATGCGAGTAGGTAGTTACCAGTTTCACCACCAGGTGGCTCGTTCGGGTCAGATAGCATGGTGGGTATAGGAGAAAGTTCCCTTTAACTTAAATTACATCTGTTTTAGTGGTTCAATTTTCATATAACCCTTATGTATCTAATAGTTATTCAAATTAAAATATGTCCAGTAAAAGAAAATGTTATCTGTCCAATACAAGAAAAGATATCTCACTTTTTGTGATTTTGTAACATGGGGTCTATGGGGAATCAACCCGAACAACAAGTCACATTTTCCAAAAAAAAAAATAATTCAAAGTTGATAAACAACTTTCGAAACCACATTTTTAGATGTACTTTTACATGTAGATTTCAAATATGACATCACTTTGACTTTTTGAATTTTGAATATTTAATGACGTATTTCTACTCGCATCGAGTCTATTAAATTGAATTGATAGACTAAACACCATAGATTTTTCTCCTACGATTTTTTTACATGTGAGGGCACAATTCAAATTCCATTCAAAATAATAATTTCAAGTAGGATTTCAAATAGGTGAATGCCTTGGTATTATATGAAAGCATATTTCTAGAAGCAAATTATCGCCAATAAGACAAAACAAAACCATTCACTTTATTACTTCTGCTAATATTATAAAAGATAAAGAGATTTATTGTCTTGCATACATCTACTAATGTCTAGTCTTTCAATGTTCTCATACTGTTTAGTGTATCTCCTATTTGGTTTGCATTGATGTTTTATCCATAGGGATATCTATTTTCAGAATAATTCTCCCGAGAATATTACAATTCAAGTACAGCACTAATTAACTGAAGAATCCCTAATAGACAACATGTCCGAATTGCAGAAAATCTTGGCATTTAACAGTTTTGACAAACGACCCCAACTCCTCCCAGAATTCTTCTTTTCCGAAAAAGATTCAGCTGGACTGAGTATGTACGATATGCCCGATGGTCAGATATCAGTAGCCAATGGTGTATCAGAACAGGGGGAAGACTGTATCGATGCTTCACAATTTCCTTGTATGGTTTCTGATGTCCCTCCACAGTATGGTATAGGGCTAATCACAACTCAACTAGATGAAGTAAAAATATCAGACATTGATGATGCTCGGCAGAAGTTAATAGACAATGTCTTAGAAAGTGTTGAAGCGGCACATATGGACACTTGCGCATTCACAAAACCAAAACTTGAAGTAGCTTTTAAAGCATTTGCAGAAAAGAAAATGCCTATGGTACGTATAGTCATATAAAGCTGTTTTTATCTTGATGAAAACCTATTCTAGAATGTGTTCATTGTGACAAAATGGATGTATTCTTTGTTCAAAATTTGATTTGATTTGATTTGAAAATTGCAAGTCATATTGGAATATTGTTCTAAATTTCAAAGATTGTATTTAGAAAGGAGATCTCCCAAATAATTCACAACTTTTTGATTTCATACATTTTTCTGTCAACACTTGGAAGAGTTGACATATTATTCTGGCCTCTATTATTTGGCATCCATCATTTAGCGTTGGTGTTTGGCATCAGCAACATGTAACATGTAACAATTTTGTATTGAAACAATAATGACTTGCAATTTTAGACTGTGAATCCATATTGACATGCTATGAATTTGATATTTTAATTCTATATTATTTATATTGTATGTGACTAAAAGTCAAATGTAAGTAATGTTGATTCCATTGTTGCCCCCAGGCATGGACTTATTTGTTAAAAAACTTTTGATTGATATGACTCAGAAATCAAACAGATCCATGTGATATTGGCGTGAATAAACATTACCCTAAAATATGATATTTATATTTACAGTGTCATTGATTCCCAGGAATAGAGTGACACTGACTAGGCTTAAGTGCTAGAATATTTAAAACCTTCAGCTCTCTCATTGGGCATTTATCTTCAAGGAACTAATGATTTTTTTGTATCGATGCATGATTTAGTCTTTGCACTTTATCTCACCTTGATTTATTCCGTGCTAAATGTCTTAAGATCATGAACACTGTGATCTAGGTGATACGTAAATAGAATGGTATTGTACTCTTATCATGTTAAAATATATTGCAAATCAATCAAAAGAGATCCAGCACAACTTGACCCTAATATCAATAAAACAGCTGGTTGCGCCTTTGCCAAGGGTCACCGTACAAGGTACCTGTATTGATGTATGTTTTGTTGAGACAAGCGAAAAATAGGCCTATGTCAGTTGGAAGTCTCAGGTCATTAAGTAGATTAACTGTTTTATGCATTTATCAAAAGCAACTGATGGAAATAGAAATAAACTGATATAATAATTCCGTCAATTTTGAGTGGAAGAATTTGAACAGGTTTAAAAGAAGCGCTGCAATACTGCATATTTAAAACCATCAATGACCACGAGATTTGTAGAGATCTAAAAATATGTGAGGCAAATTTAAATAGGTGAGGCAAATTTAAATAGGTGAGGCAAAAGGAATATAATATAATAATTATACATGTACTTCATTTTTGGTTTGAATTAAAAAAAATTCTGATACCAGCCTTCACCTATTGACCAGTATACCAAAGTTTGTATTTAATATAAAACCAAAAATGAAAATCAGGTTTTTGCAGAACAATTATCATAGAATTCAAAACAGAAAATGAAATTATCGCCAGAGCAAGCCATAATGGTTCAAAAAAGAAATATTTTAAATCAACACTTTAAGCATTTGTTAACCTATTTTTTAAAACTCAACACCATTTACCATATTTATTCTCTTTGTCTTGTTTCAATAAACATTTATGTAACAAATTATGTCATGAAGTCCTGTAAGGCTGTCTCATAAATCGTCTCACTATCACGTTGGTGTAGGCGTAAACTCAGACATAATTCACGTACAATTTTAGTGACATTTCCCTTATATATTTGACATCTGGAGGATTTTGTTTAATTTTAATTTGAATGGTACAATAATTTTGAGGCCATCATGTTTTAAATGAAAAGTATGTCATAACGCATCTTTTAAATTATATTTCTGTTTTCTATTTTTTTAAAAGATGTGAAACTAGTAAAACTATTCATTGAAAGAGTTAGACATAAAATATGTGGACTGTGATGTTCGAGACTAACCCATTACCCATATGAGTAAATTGTCATAAAATCAATTATCGTAACATTATATTGTTGAAGCAATAGATTCCTATAACACAATGACATTGTACACTAAGTAAAAACAGGTTAATTACCATACATGTAAATCATATGACAATTCATAATCGTATGTTTGAAAAAATTCAATATTTGATACAGTTTTTATGTTAATTTGTTATTTTATCCTTGAATATCATTTACTTGACCTTAATAAAAATACACATCTGTGTTAGTTCTTATAAAGTCTTAGAAGTAGCATTAAAATTCTTGAATTAAAGTGATCAAGTTTGTTTCTTGGGACATAGTGTTAGACTTTGCTAGACATGTTATGAACTTAATGTCTGATAAAACTATTGTATGTAATATTGCACTTAGTGAATGTCATATATTTTAAATTTTGCAATCTAAGCAGAGTTTAAAAAATAATGGATTGTGCTGAAAATATTCAATGGGCAACATTACAAAAACACAATATAAGCTAAGCTATAAGCTAAGGTTTTCCAAGATTGCATCGTTCATAAAAGATTGCATCTTTAATTACAAACTGTTTATTTATTTATTCAGCCTGACCCATCCAAGATGGCTAACATGCCAAACAATATGTGGGAGGAGAAGTTCATGTCCAACATGGTCCCGGTGATCACGAGGGTAGTGACATTCTGCAAACGACTTCCAGGTAACATTCATCTCTAACATTTACTTGCATCCTCTTCATTATAAATATTGTGAATTACGATTCATATACTTCTATTAAGTCAAATTGCGTTTTTAATGATATTGCTATATTTACATTGTAAGAAACAATTGAATTTATTGGCCTATAATCCACGATAAAACATTTCTGACATTCAATGATATTACAAATAAACTTGGCATAATACAATGCAACCACATTTTGGATTGGTTTCAATTTCTGTAATTTCTTGTAAGCATTCCAATGGACGCCTACACTATATAAACTATCCTAATTTGATTGATGCCTACCACATTGAAAAATCATAAATAGATCAATGTTCTGCCAGTAATAATAATATTTTTATTGCTCATTATTTCAGGGTTTCAAGAGCTTGCACAAATTGATCAGATGAGACTCATCAAACAGGGTTCATTTGAGATTGCACTCGCTCGCTTTACTCCACTCGTAGATGAAGTGAGTGATGCAATGTATGACCCCAACATTGAGGTGAAAATACCAAGGTGAGCAATAAAAGTGTTAACCCCATTCTCTAGCAATATACTATATTTTGATGTATAAGAGCCATATAGGTAACAAGACAACTCACCCCTAGGACCACAAGATAACTCATCTGAACACATGGTACATGCACACCCCATAGACCATAATTGTCCATGATGAAAACTATATTGTGGAGATATTTCTTTGTAGGAAAATGGTACAGATGTTGCCCATGGGAAAATTCCTGAATGAATTCTTCAGCTATGCCGCTGTGGTGAAGCCTCTTGAGTTATCTGACTTTGAGATGGGACTTTTGACCACCATCTTAATACTGTGCCCAGGTAAGAAAATTAAAACAATGTACAATACTTAAAATCCTCAGTGCATTAATTGTACACTTTGTGCAGTTCTTGGCTTTCTCATTAATTGTAAAGGCTAAGAATTTAGTCAGGTTGATTCAGCCATAATATATGTGGAATATTTAGCGGTATATCCCCTACCATCCAATGTACATATAATAGAAAAAGGATCCATCCTTGTTCATGAACGTTGTGTCCTTGAGAGATGATTTATCTTATCTAGGATAGGTCATTTGTCAAAAAAATATTAATTTTTATGACACTTTTTCTTTTCATGTTCAATTAATGATTCTTTCCTTGTCATGTTTAGATCGACATGGCTTGACTAACAAGAAAGCAGTATTTAAACTACAGGGTCTATACTTACAAGCGATGAAACAGCACATATCTAAAACACATCCAGGTAAATATCAAGTTCATAAAGCAATTCAGAGTCAGAATCCTTGAAATAAATAATACTAGGGCTTTTTGACCTTGTTATATTATTATTATCATGTGACACGGGTTGTTCTCTGAATAAACTTTTTTGTGTCATCACCACAAGCGGTGACACATTGTAATAGTCTCCAACTTTTTTGTGGACATTGTTTAGCAGTTGCTGTTCAGTGGTTGATGTTTGGTGTTCGACAGTCAGGCGTCTGTAAAAAATTAAAGGTGCTGACATTTCATTCATTTTGCCTTTAATCAAACTATTTGATCCAGTAGTGCACAACAATTGTATAGATAGCATGTATCTTCTATTTACAGATGATAGCGAAAGACTAACTAAGATCTTGGACACAATATCACCACTTCGTAGTATTAACGACCGTCATGCCAAATCTCTCCATCAAATGAAGAAAGATGCTTCTGAACAATTGAGCAATATGCCTGTCCTCCATGGCGAGGTTTACGATGGCAAAATCTAAGATTTTCCCTGAATCTGAACATTGTCAAAAGTGCAACAAAAATGTTGAGTCTGAGGCAGGTTCCTCGTTGCTCAACTCTCATTTATTGTACAAAATTATCATGAAAAACATGATTTCCAGAAATACTAAAGAAAATTTTGAAATCAAATGATTTCCAGAAATACTAAAGAAAATTTTGAAATCAAATAGTTCATTGATTTAAAAAGAAAAAATGATTTAAAATCAAGAAAATAGTGAAATTAGAAAGAAAGAAATATTCCAAGATAAAGTCGATAAAAAACTTTCCAAGAATAATAATGAAGAAAAATTTCAAATCAAAATAAAATCGATTGATATTATTTACGAAGTGTAATGATCTGAAGCAATAAAAATCGCCGAGTCAAACACTTTTGGCCATCCACACATCAAAAGTGTAACCCGTTGTGTTTGACTTGATCGGTTTTACTGTACTCCTATAACTATGTATTCATTTATATCAATATGTGTGATGTACTAGTCTAGACAACATTATAATGCATGAGGCTTCAACTTTCATGGTTTTATCTGTTACATGTATTTTAACTGTTGATCCATTATATTGGGTTTCTTATACATTTTCCAACTGTTGTTAGAATTGGTGACACGCTATATTGGTTATGGGACAACCATCCATATATCAGTTTAAATATCCACATAATATTATTTTCTCTTAGCTTGGACAAAATTAAATCCAGTTGCTATTGAATAAAACATTGTTGTTGTATTCTTAAAGAACATGTATAAAGAACACTATGTTATTTATTTAGTTGGGTAGGAAGGATTTTATGTCCATGTACAATTTATGAATTCAAATGTCACAATGACATAAATATTATATCAATGTGTTATGATGTATTGGTCCAAGACCATTTTGTGCATATACTTTGTGTTATTGTGTATTTATATACAGTGTGTAAATATATTTTAATGAAGCTGACTTTGTGCCTTTGTTATTAATGTTTCTAGGATTTGAGTGAATTTTCCATACAATTTGAAAGATGTCGTGATGACCCATTGCCACAAACTCATAACTCGTAATATGTTTGGACCCCACCAAGAATTAGTGATATGTTGCTAGATTTTGTGACTGGTTATTGGCCAAATGGTTACATTTTTTGTAGTTGCAATCGGGCCATTTTGTCATGTTGAGGTCTTATTCACCACATTTTCTTACTTCTTTTTTTAGCTGAGCCAGAGGTAAATAAACAATTTACTTGATACTCCAAATACTCTCATAGTCCACTCATGCTATAAGTTCTTAGTTAAAACTGTACATCTTCTCATATTCTTTATGCCCATACCTAGCTCACTAAATTGGTGTACAGTGAAACTTGTAAAGTGTAACCCCTCTAGAAGTAGAACACCCCTGTTAGTGGAACACTTTTTAGAGTCCCAAGAACAACTGACCTAATGTTAAATGAACCTGTATAAGTGGAACACCCTCAAAGTGGGGTGAGGTACCAAATGCGTTTCATCACTTAGACAGGTTTTACTGTATATGGAACATCCTCCTTCCTGGCCAAAATTATTACTTGTCTAGAGAGGTGTTCCTTTCAAAGAGAAAATAATACATGAGACTGAATTCATTGAAAACTGTTCCATGTAATGCATAGAGGTGTCCAATTTGACAGATTTTACTGCACAATACTTCATGCATATGAATTGCAGGCCCGTAGCCAGAGGGGGGTTCGGGGGGTTCGGACGAACCCCCCCCCTGGCCAAAATTTCTTTCAAAATCATGCAGTTTTTCACCATTCTGGCCATTTTTTGGGTGATTTTTGGCCAAATATGCCAAAGTGAACCCCCCCCCTAGAATTTTTGGGAAAAGTGAACCCCCCCTTGAAAAATTCTGGCTACGGGCCTGAATTGTGACAATCAAACGATAAGGTAAGTAAGCTCATGAGGACCATTGGTCTTATACAGGGCTAATGACGTGTTAAGGTATATCAGCATGTTCAGAAAGGACGATTCTCGGTTTGGAGAACAGTCTCCTGGGCTAATAATTTTTTTCATGAAAAATATAGAAATATTACCCAAATTAAACTATGATCATTCAAAAGAGGACATTTAAATCTACAAGATGTAAAGATAGCAAATCGGTCTGAAGCAGGGATAATGCTCAAATAGACCGATTCAATATAAATACAAGTCTCGATTTGGGGAAAGAAGTTCATCAGTGTACTGCGCTAATATCTTTTTGCGAAAAATCTAGAAATATTACCCAAATTAAATTATGACGAATTAAAAGAAGACATTCAAATCTTTATTATGTAAAAAAATCAAATTTGTCCGAAGTAGGGATAATGCTCATTTAGATTGATGAACTTCGTTCTCCAAACCGAGAATCGTCCTTTGAATGACTTCTTATTTGAGTTGCACATTATTTTCAGGTACATATAATACTGTAGCTCATTCCATACAAGGTCTACATCAGGCAGTTTTGCATATGGAATGCACAAAAATACAAAATACAAAAATATATAGATTATTACCCAGATAGCACAACGACGTTGGGCCAACGTTGGGCCAACAGCATGCCAGCCAGTGGGCCAACAGTGGCTGCCAACGTTGGCCCAACGTTGGCGTGTCCAGCCAGCCAACGTTGGTCCAACGTTGGCAGCCACCAAAGAACCAACGTTGGCCCATTGTTGGCCCAACGTTGGCAGCCACCAAAGAACCAACGTTGGTCCATCGTTGGCCCAACGTTGGTCCATTGTTGGCCCAACGTTGGCGTGTCCAGCCAGCCAACGTCGGTCCAACGTTGGCAGCCACCTAAGAACCAACGTTGGCCCATCGTTGGCCCGCCATTGACACAATTTACTTTTTTGTACAGCCATTGTTGGCTCCTTGGTATTACAGGGCTGTCAACTTGGGACCACCTAATATGAGTGACTTCAAAATGTTGGACACCTAAGTCCAAATCTGAACACTTTTGTCCAAATTTTGAACACCTTTGGCCAACTTTTAAACACCTTTGGCCAAAGTTTGAGCACCTTTGCCAAACTTTGAGCACCTCAATTTTTCGCGCTCGCTTCGCTCGCGATGTCGTTAACGGGGGGGGGGGGGGGGGGGGGGGGGGTAGGTACGAAATTTTCCAATGAACATGCGTGACATATATGGGATTCGCGTGACAAATCCGAACAATTTGCGTTCGGTTTTTTTCCGACGTTCGTATTTTTACCGTATCGTAAACATATTTCGAAAAAATTTCTACAGAAATATTTTTGCGTGACAATTACCAGGTAAAATGCGTATTTGCGTGACATTTTCTGTCACGCAAAAAAAACTGGCGTGACTTCAAATTCTTCAGCAAATGCGTGACAAATACGCAAATTGCGGGACAGTTGACAGGCCTGGTATTAGCGGCAGCCCAACTGGACCAACTGCGATTAGCCACCCAATGGGCACCAGTAGTGACGTTGGCCCGACGTCTTTGTGATATCTGGGCATTCTATACTCTTATCAGAAATGTGTTCACATATAATATCCGTTCTACATCAATAAAATATGGTGGCTTGTTTTTCCATACTAAATATATTTGGTAGCCTTATAAGTGGTTTCAACTGTATTACAAGGCGAAAATCCATATTTCTGAGGTAAACAACATTATCAGATAATTTTGAAAGAAAATATTTCATAAAATTTACCTTAATTTTTTTAATGACTGCTGGTATGTTTTTCTTCTATTTTTAAGCAAAGCATTTGCACTGATTTATGGATAAGTGGCTTCCTGGTGTTAGCGGCAGCCACCGATGGTCCAACGTTGGCCCAACTACAATTTGCCAACTGCATTTTTGCACTGATTTATCGATAGGTGGCTTCCTGGTATTAGTGGCAGCCAACGATGGGCCAACGTTGGCCCAACTACAATTTGCCAACTGCAATTTTGCACTGATTTATCGATAGGTGGCTCCCTGGTATAAGCGGCAGCCAACGACGGGCCAACGTTGGCCCAACTACAATTTGCCAACTGCAATTTTGATCCATGGTATTAGCGGCAGCCAACGACGGGCCAACGTTGGCCCAACTACAATTTGCCAACTGCAATTTTGATCCATGGTATTAGCGGCAGCCAACGACGGGCCAACGTTGGCCCAACTACAATTTGCCAACTGCAATTTTGATCCTGTTATTAGCGGCAGCCAACGACGGGCCAACGTTGGCCCAACTACACTGTGCCAACTGCAATTTTGATCCATGGTATTAGCGGCAGCCAACGACGGGCCAACGTTGGCCCAACTACAATTTGCCAACTGCAATTTTGATCCTGTTATTAGCGGCAGCCAACGACGGGCCAACGTTGGCCCAACTACAATTTGCCAACTGCAATTTTGATCCATGGTATTAGCGGCAGCCAACGACGGGCCAACGTTGGCCCAATTACAATTTGCCAACTGCGACCATGCCAACCAATGGCCACCAATAGCGACGTCGGCCCGACGTCTTTGTGCTATCTGGGTAGCTGAGCATTAATAAATATACCAGGAATATAAAAGGGATAAAAGGACGATTCTCGGTTTGGAGAACGAAGTTCATCAATCTAAATGAGCATTATCCCTGCTTCGGACAAATTAAATTTTTTTTACATAATATAGATTTGAATGTCTTCTTTTGAATAGTCATAATTTAATTTGGGTAATATTTCTAGATTTTTCACGTATTGGCGCAGTACACTGATGAACTTCTTTCCCCAAATCGAGACTTGTATTTTATTAAATCGGTCTAATTGAGCGTTATCCCTGCTTCAGACCAATGTGTTATTTTTACATCTTGTAGATCTCTTTTGAATATTCATAGTTTAATTTGGGTAATATTTCAATATTTTTCATGAAAAAAATATTAGCCCAGGAGACTTCTCCAAACCGAGAATCGTCCTTTGGTGATAAATATTTTTTGTACCTTTTAAAAGTAGGTCACTGAATTTTCATTCATTGTACAAAATTATCTGACCTCAGTTTGTAATCTAGACCTAAAGAATGAGGTATGGGTTTGGGTACCTGAAAATAATGCAGGACTCCAATCAGCAACCCATATTAATACATGAACATTTCTGAATATACAGAACTACCTTATTATAATGTAATTACAGTCTTGTAAATGAGGTCACACAAATCATAGCAAATTCAATCTAATTTTGTTATTGTGTTTAGGATGTCACATATAACATTAGATCAATATAATCAATCTAATTTTGTTATTGTGTTTAGGATGTCACATATAACATTCAGTGGCGTAGCCAGGATTTGGTGACCGGGGGTTCTATTTTCGTTTATTCACAAATCCCCCCCCCCCCTCTTCATTTGGGTTCCTCAAATAAAAACCTTTTTGTGCAATTTGTACAATTACACTCCCTCCAAAAGTTTGGCAATCCTAACTCACCCATTGGATTATGTATTAAAGCATCTTTAAGTTTGAATTCTTTTTTATTTATTTTGTTACGAAAAAACTTTGGGAGGGGAAATATAATTCATTTTAATACCTTCATTAAGTTAAGTAGACAATTGAATTTGAATTTTATCAATCAAAATGATGTCTTTATTTACGTTAAGCAAAGTCTGAAAGTAATAGGCTTTATCAAGAAACCTCTCTCATTGAAATAACACAGGACGTAAAAATGATTTTCAAAAATGACCGTGTTAGCTTTGTAACTTTAATGTTCACAAAGTAAAATAAACAGGCAACGTGCAAAAAAGTCAGACAACTTATAATTAATTTTCTGCCTCAAAATATATTTCGGTGAATCTTTTACTAAATATATATCCTGACATCTGATTTGCCTCGAATCCACCATTATTTCGTCTGATTTCTGGAAGACCCTGGAGCATGTTTTGTTACCAAGGGATATCAACTATTTCGCACAATTTATTCTTTAACAAGCTACTTCATCTAGGACAAAATAAATCACCTCATGCAATGACTTATCATTATTTTGCAGGAATTTTGTTGGAAGCCAGTTCGGATCAAATGCAAGGCAAGGCGCAAACACCCTATAAATTCCGAAAGATCGCTCTTCTATGATAACTTTTCACAACGTTTACGCGAATGATTTTTTAACTATCCGGGGTAGTCGTATTAATGATGAAAACATATGTTATTAAAATTAGTGGGTCTCCGTTATGCTTTGTTTTAAAAAGTTTAAATATTTCTTTGGACGTCCCCGGAGCTCAGTGGCACGTCCCCTGGAGCAGATCAACTGCAACTGATGATAAAAACGTTTTGGTGGATATAAATCATATACAAGCGACTGTTCGAATATAAAACGTATTTTGTTAAGTTCAGACGGCTTGATAATAAATTAGGCCTTCATTATTTGAAGATTAATACCATATGATTTTTCAATGTTTTTTATTATGTAATTTATTCGCTAAACATATCATGACATTAACATGAAAACGGAGAGCAAGTAAAATGGAACGATAACAATTTGAATTCTATACAAATCTTAGATGAGTGGAGTGTATCTGAAAAAATCATTTTTTGCAATGATTGATTTTTCTTTGAAAAAGTGATGGATAAATTAATACTGAACAAATGAAAGAATGAATAAAATTGAACAAATGCTTGAATTTATAAATGATATACGCTTTTAAATAATTCATTTCACAACGTTTTTAATTAATTTTCTGCAATTGGTTTGGGGTACTTGCCAGCCCCAGGGGCTGTTCCAAGAAATATTTTAAATTGTAATTGAAATAAAACAAAACAGAGATGTACACATTTGAAAGAACATTTGTTTCATCAATATTACGACTATTCCAGATATTTATTCGTAATTGTTGTAAAAATCATTCGGAGTATGGGACGTCTGCATTGTTTTCAATAACTTTCAATAACTTCGTATTGGACCAGAACTGGCTTAAAACAAAATTCCTACAGAGGACTGATTTAGCTATTGCCCAAGATGGGTTATTTTGTCCGAGAAGAAGCAGCTTTTAAGTTAATTGTGCGAAATTATTGTTATTTCTAAATGTAAAATCTCATGCTCTGGGGCAATAAATCTCACCCCGTATGCCTAAGGTTGCAAAACGGTTTGAGGGAAGTGTAACTTCACTATGACATGTGTTTTAACAAAATAATGCTCTCGTGTTCACCATAACAAATATCAATTTATTTACTGGTCATATAAACCTATGCCTAGTTTTCAAATAGCATGTAGTTATTTAATGTTTCTGGTTATATGCATTTTTCCACAAAATGATATTTTGGGAAATCCTGACCGGGGGTTCGTTCGAACCCACCGAACCCCCGCTGCCTACGGCTATGACATTAGATCAATATAAGTCTGTTATAATAGTACTGCTTTCAGTCTGCTCCAATGTTTCTTTGAAGCGTACGATTAAATCGTTCGCTAACCGTGTAGCAAATTGAGCTGTCAAATGTTATATGTGGCGTGTCACTTCAGTGAGTTCAAAATGGCGGTACATGTTTTGAAATATTCAGTTCACAAGTCTTCTAGTTTCTCTGCTAGTTATGTACCTGAGTAAGTAAAATTGTGTTCAGGATATTCTTTTAATAATAAGGTTTATTTTTGATCGTCGTGAATTTCATGATTTTCATCGAAACTGCTGCTAAATTTGATCTGAGATAGTTTTGTAATCTGTTGTTTTCATTTTCAAACTGCAAATGTTTTTTTTTTATCTTATTTACTTTTAGCCTAGATCTACTCAATACGCGGGTTACTGAAGTCATATGGTTACCTTATTTTTTGTTATGTCGCCACCACAAGTGGTGTTATATAGTTATACCCCCAACTTTGTTTGTGGCGTCGGTCTATGGTGTTTGGCATCTGTAACAAATTGCCGGTGGTGACATTTTGATATAGTCTAATCTAGGCCTACATGGGCGTAGCGCCCGGTACGCTGGGTACGTACCAGATGGTTGCAAATTCGCTCCAAATACAACCAAATTTTCCTGGGGGAGAACCCCCAGAACCCCCTGAATGCTTGTTTTTTGATTCACTCAACTCTTGTTCCTGTGGTGGTGGCGTACTACTTAGAAAAGTAGCGCTACGCCCATGGCCTAGTCTAATTGTTAATGTGTCCAGAAATTAGTTTATTTGCAATTGGTCATAATAAGGCTAATTTTTGGTGATTTTTATGTCACCATATTTCCCAAATTATAGTCTCCAAGTCCAACTCTTGTGGATGTTGGTTGCTGTTTGCTTCCAGTGGTCTGCGTTTGTAACATGGCATCTGTAACAAATTGCAAGTGTTGACATTTGGCATGTTAACGCCTTGTACAGCCTTGTAGACTTGTGAGGCCGTAACTAGGATACTGAAATCAGCCACATATTTTATATCCCAAAATATTTCCTTCATCATTGTCATCGATTGGTCGTATTATGGAAAGTATCAGCACGGTTGCATATTTTCTCCCCAAGAAACAAAAATGGTGGTAAAAGACAGGAATTCACAAAAATATAATGAGTGATTGCATTTAGTAACTCAGTTTTTGGCATCAATGACTCTTTGGAGAAACATGATACGGAATTGATCACCGTAAAATAAAAAATAAGTTATCTTATTTGATACATGTAATATCAAATGATATTCACTCAGTTACCAGGAAATGTATTTTCCCTTTATTCATTATTATGTTTTGTAATTCCAGCAACATAACAGTCAACAAACCAACAGACCAGTCTTCCAGGTGGTCATCTGATTCGAACAACCCCCCACAGGTAATGACAGTATTTTTAACTGTTTTATCTTCTAAATTAGAATATGAACTGAAAGATCTGTGATGTTTTTGAATTGCAGTAAAATCTTTCTATTGAAACATGAACACTATGTTAATCAAACTTTTATAAGAGAAAGACTTCCTAAGTTGGAAACTTAGGTATTCCACTTCTCTTGTTTTAAAAAACATCCAAGAATAAACATTGTTTTGTTTTATTGGTATTTTTTATTTCTTCTATTATTTTTATCTCCATGCGATATTGATCATTTTTGGAAAAATTATACAAAACTCAATGTATGTTGTGCAAATAAGATATATTGAATTGAATTTTTCAGTATTTAACCTTGAAATTAGAGAGCCCTACTATATGCCATAGTATAACATTTGGCAAGTATGAAAAGACACATGTGTGCAACCTCAAAAAGTTCAAGATATATGGAGGTCTGAATGATGAAAATATGATAGAAATTTTAGACAGGTAAGGCTATAAGGTGATTAATGGGAACAATTAAATACTGACACATACTTAGAACTCACATTTTGTCAATGTTCATTTTGGCATTACATTATACATCAATGATCAATGTAAAATAGGTGTAGTTTATCGGGTAAAATGTTTTAGAAATTATGTAATTACATATATGTTCCAAATCATTTTCAAAAAACTGTTCTTTTTAAACTTCACTGCATATCTCACGAGTGCTCTATATTCCTAATAATTTTCTGTAGCATCTTCTATAAACTGGGACTGTTCATGCATAACATACTTGTAATTATCAAAAATATTTCATTTCTTGTAGCGGTTTAAAGAATGACCATACAGCTGAAACATTCTACCTCAAACACCAGATAGACAATAATGACTTTCCATGCAAATACATCAAAATAGGTAAGATTCTTAACCCCCCCTCCCACACACATACATTCAGTATAAGATTTGATTCCCAGTTTTGAGTAACTTAAAAATTATTTCTAGTCTAAAATGCTACAGGGTGATTACTTTTGGCCCCGTTAACAATTTCTGTAGTCCTGTTTATGTCATATAAAAATATATAGAAAATATTCCTCATACTGTTTATCCCTATATTTTATGCTGCATATTTCTCTCGATTTTGGGAAGCTATGGCTGCCGTACTGTTGCCGGAGATAAAATGTGACAGACTATTGATCCAATCAGCATTCACTAGACAGGTGTTCTTGTGCTTTTTTCAGTGCCTATACAGTCGTGGGGTCCTAGCTTTAACTTCAGTATTTGGTATGTGGAACTGAGTGGTGTAGATAGTACTCAAGCTGTGGCTCCATGTATGAACTGGTACAATACTGTAAGTGATAACATTCACATGCACAATCTTAAAAATGTGAAAAAAAGAAAAAATCTAAAAACTTATATTTTTATTAGTGGGTAGATATAGCTTTACGTCCTGCTCCGAGCACTATATCTACCCACTACGTCATAAACGCCATTCACATATTGGTTCATTTTTTGTAACATTCGCATAATAACTGTAAATGACAATGGAGAAAAACGCAGACAATTGCGATCTGTTTAAAGAAGGGAAGGATCAGTGTACCCTGTTGAAAATGAAATAATCGAGAAAATAATGTGGATGAATATCTGAAAGAACAGGAAAATCCGACCATGACCAAGAAAACAAAACTGAATATGAAGATTCTAGTGTTTGGAAGTCAGCGTCTGTAACAAATGCCAGGTGGTGACATTTGCATGTTAATGCCTTGTTTTTTCCATGATAATAGGTTTATGTTGTTTTTTCTCTTTAGTACAGGGAAAGAGAAGCAATAAGACTGTGTCTCAAACACTTCAGGCAGCATCACTATATAGAGGCTTATGAAGCACTAAAGAAGAAAACCAAAGTGTCTCTTGAACATGAGGTCTTAACTGATCTGCATACAGAACTTGTAAGTGCATGCATAAAAAATTCAAGCAGCAATGTCTGTGCGTTAAACAGGTTTATTTGTAATGAGAATGTATCAAATAGGGAGAATATAGGGTTCCATCTTTTATAGAATTGGTGAATTACAAAATTTATGCCCTTTTCAATTATAAGGCTGTTTTTAGTTGTTTTTTAAGTTCAACAAAATTTACACCAACCTTGTATCCTATAGTGAGTTAATCAAAATTGCTCTAATAATTGACATATTTCAGGTACTCAATTCAGATTTTGATGCTTGTGAACAACTAATAGAGAAGGCTTGTGATGGTAAGAACATTTGCATTAGAGACATTATACAGGGCGTATCAAAAAAAACGCAACAAGTAGTTATCTCGTAAAATCACAAAACTAGTGATGCCTACATCAATATCATTCAATGTACCATAAAGCCACATCTCTCCTCTTTGCAATGATATGTCATTCATTCACATGTGGAAATGGTTGGGTGAGAAATCCTTCCATTTGCACAGTGGGACAAAATCGGCTCTGGACCAAGTTTTAGATATTGAAAAAATCAGTGCAAAGGCTAAGTGCCAATGGAAGTTCCCTTGACTTGAATTGTTGTGACTTTTTCTTTTGGAGCTATCTCAGGAGCATCTGTGCTCACAATTCCTACACCAGATATTGCAAAATTTGAGAAAGAATTGCCCATGGGCTGCTTTTCTCAGCTTTAACCCACAGATGACTCAGGGCTGAACCATGCATGAAGTGGCCAGATGAGCGCATCTTTATGTGCAAGGAAGTGGTGGTAATTTGGAGGGGTATAGGACGTATTCTTGCTAGAGTATGAGTATGAACACTTTACTGTCCATACCATACCTGTCACACCTTCTTCCAATAGCCCCTATGCCCCTTGTACTGACCTTTTCAATGTTTAAAACTTGGGTCTGAGCTGAATTTTGCCCCACTTTGCAAAATAAATGATTTTTCGGCCAGAGATGACTCCCTGTGAATGAATGATATTCCATTGCAAAGAGGAGTAATTTTGCTTTTTGGTACATTGAATGAAAAGGATGCAGTCAGCATTAGTTTAATGTTTTCTTCCAATATTGCATCGGGCTCCAAACACTGACTTTTGCGATGTTTATAACTTGGCCCCAAGCTAATTTTGGCCCACTTTGCAAATTGAATGATTACTTGCCCAACCATGACCAAATATCAATGAATAATATATCATTGTAAAGAGGAGACACTTGGCTTTATGGTGCATTAAATGAAATCAATGCTGTTGTCACTGGTTTTGTGCATTTCTGAGATAACAATCTGTTGCGTTTTTTTTGATACGCACTGTAGATAATTCACTATGCAATTTATTTTTTTCAGCTTCTTAAATTTAGAATTCAAACATTTAATTGGTTTAAACATATCTTCTTTCATGTAGTCCAGATTTTAAAAAATATTCTCCATACTAAAGGAATAATGATCTAAGAAACGCATGTCTGCATCACCATAGAGGGTGTTCATCATATTTATATTTATAGAATGAAATAAAAGTTCAAAATGGATTTGATAATCAATGAAAAATAATAGAAGTAATATGATTCAGACATTAAATATATTAAATACAATACTAAGTATAAATATTTCTCTAAGTAACGTATAAAAAAAGTCATATTTTAACTTTACAAATTCTCTTAACAGATGGCTTGTTTGATCACTATATCAGCCAGCAAGACTACAAACCTAAATGGAGTTCTGTAGAACCAGTAACTAAAAGAGGTGAGATTTTGAATCACAAAGGTACATGACTTTTTCTGAATACATGTAGATGTACACAGTTGTATATCATGTACATGTTTGTATAATGTTCACTGGAGGAAACTTATAAAAGCCAAGATTGGAACTGCCACTAATTTACTGAAACCAAATGGACTTGATGTAGTCAAATTGGAACCCTGAGGAAGTATTCTAAGAGAAACTGTCCAAAAATGTTATATTTTCTTGTTTTCCTTTTCGTAAATGAGCTTGTTGTGCATGTGTATTGTACATTGCAGAGAACCAGAACGACTTTAGGCCGGGTATGAGGGGAGGACATCAGATGTGCATAGATACTCAATCAGGTAATAATTTGTATATTTAGTAAAATATATAGCCCTTACTGCTCTTGCTGTTTTTATGTCACCACCAGAAGTGATATTGTTATAGTCTTCAACTGTTTGTGGATAGTGTTTGGCGGTTGGTGTTCAGCGTCTTTAACAGGTGATGATATTTTGCAGGTTATGAATCTCTATCGCAGTGAATATATCTTGGGATGATGGGCAGATGGGTGGGAGGCACAAACAATTTTGTCTTCAAGATAGCAAGACAACTGTTCATCTGTTAAGAATTTAGCTATCGCAAAAGCTGACCAGTGCCTATATCTGATTAGGTTTTGGGCCTGCTGAGTAATTGTTGACATATGATATATTGTTATAGTTTTCAACTTTTTTGTGTACGGTGTTCAGTTGGTTGCAACTGGTGTTTAGCATCTGGAACAAATGGCACGTGGATACATTTAGCATGTAATTGCCTTGTTTTGATTTACATCACTGACATAATTAATGGATGAAACTATTCGATCAATTAACAACAGAATGGTCCCATTTTCAGATATCATATACCTGTATGGTGGTTGGGATGGTAACAAGGACTTGGCTGACCTATGGGAATACAGTATTTCAACACAAACCTGGACTTGTCTCTGCAAAAATACACAAGAGGAGGTAACATTACTGCATAAACACCTTTTAGAACTTGATCCCTGCCTTACCAACTTCCCCTTTTCAGCACAGTCTGATTAAATGTTCCTTGATTTACAAAAAAGCAAGAAAATCTGGACAGATTGCTATAATTTTCCCGTTAGGTTTAGAACAAGCTTTATTATTTAGTTTAGGCAATGCTTAAGCAATTCATATATTCTGAAAAGACTGCAGTGAAACCTGTTTATTGGAACACCTCTATTACACAAGCTTTATTATTATCATTTTATAGTCTCCAACCTTTTTGTGGTTGGTGTTCATTGTTCGGCAGGCTGGTGTCTTTACAAATGGTAGGTGATGACATTTTGCATATTTTAAAATGCCTTGTTTCTTTTCCTGTTGTATTCATGCATTGTAATTGTGCTTCAGGGTGGACCCAGTGCTAGATCCTGTCATAAGATGGTTGTGGATTATGAACGTAAACAGATTTTCACCCTTGGTCGATACTTGGACAATTCACTGCGAGCAGCTGATAATCTAAAGGTTAGTCACCCAGCGCCATCTTTACATTGCAGCAAAGATTTACTACTGCACTGTAATTTATGCCAATGAAACGGTTGAAAAGATAAAGCTTTCTGACTCTGTCACTGACATATGTACACAAAAATTAGATGGTGTTGATGTCTTTCACAACTACATCTTGAAGTTGCTCCTTTCTAGTTGTCCATGGTTACCCAGATATGCCAAATATTGATAAATGTATCCATCTTAGCTAGTTCCTTTAAATTATAAAATGTGAGTTCATATTGCATCTTTCTATTTTCAATTTAAAATTTTAGAGTGACTTCTATATGTATGATGTTGAGACTGCCAAGTGGACATTAATAACTAATGACACTGGTGCTATGGGAGGTCCTCAACTAATATTTGACCACCAGATGGTTCTGGATGTTGAAAAGCACACCATTTTTGTGTTTGGTGGCCGTGTCCTCACAAGGTATGTCCCTCTTCATTTGGATAGTTGGTATTCCCAACCATGAGTCCATCATTTTAGAACCATCATGTTAATTTCAAACTGGAAATATGAATTATTTAAAAAAAAAAAAATACTGTTCAGAATGGTTGCAGGCCTAATCAGAAATAGAGAATTCACTCACTATTCCGCTCTGATTATGAATATTTTAGGTTAAAGATTGTCTGTTTTATTCATTTTTTCTTTTAAATCAGATTTCTCGGTCTTACTTCAATTTATACACTGACATGTTCGAATTGTGTTTTGTTAATGTAGCTAATTTTAATATGTCACGACCAAAAGTGATTATAGTTTTCAATTTTTTTGGTAGGCGGTTGGTGTTTTGGATTTGATGGCCAGCCAGTCAGTGTCTGTAACATGGCATCTGTAACAAATGGCAGGTGGTGACATTTTGCATGTATAATGCCTTGTATCAATATTCTCTGGGTTGTTCTTCCAGTAATGCAGCTGAAGCAGAGAGAGGATCTGACCCTACATTTAGTGGTCTCTACTCCTATCATATACCCACAAATACCTGGACTAAACTGAAGGATGACTGTCAGGAACTAAGGTCTCGAATAGGACACTCAATGCTCTTCCATACTGTAGGTTCATTCACTATATTTGGCTCGCTCTTTCATATAATGTTCTGTTGTGTTTTTGAAACACATGTATATCCCCATCTAACTTTTAAAGCCACATTGATTAATGGCAATTGTGACTAAATACATTTAATTCAGAATTATGAATCATGAACATGAATAAACCAGGTCACATCCTCCACAAAATACATCCCTGTATTCGGGTGTATTTTGTAGTTTCAGTTGCCAATTTAGAGTAAATATATACAGTAAAGCCTGTCTAAGATCTGTCTAAGATGTGTTCAATTAACATAAAATCAGTCGGTCTTGGGACTCTGAAAAGTATTCCACTTACAGAGGTGTTTCACTTCCAGAGGTGTTCCTCTTTACAGGTTTCACTGTATATGTACGTACCATCACATACATAGCCCATATATTTTCTTTATTTGTAGCGCTCACGTCAACTGTACATCTTTGCTGGTCAGAGATCTAAAGATTACCTCAACGACTTCTTTACGTATGATGTTGACACTGGTGCAATTAACATCTTGTCCGATGGTACTAAGAGAGATGGAACATGTGGTAAGTTTATATTCATACAGTCTATTGGTCTAACCCAAATACTATCTTAAGATTACCTCAACGACTTATTTACGTATAATGTTGACACTGGTGCAATTAACATCTTGTCCGATGGTACTAAGAGAGATGGAACATGTGGTAAGTTTATATTCATACAGTCTATTGGTCTAACCCAAATACTATCTTAAGATTACCTCAACGACTTATTTACGTATGATGTTGACACTGGTGCAATTAACATCTTGTCCGATGGTACTAAGAGAGATAGAACATGTGGTAAGTTTATATTCATACAGTCTATTGGTCTAACCCAAATACTATCTAAAGATTACCTCAACGACTTCTTTACTTATGATGTTGACACTGGTGCAATTAACATCTTGTCCGATGGTACTAAGAGAGATGGAACATGTGGTGAGATTATATTCATATAGTAAAACCTGTCTAATCCGAATGCCACTGGGGTTGGCCAAAGGTGTATGGATTAGTAGGTGTTCACATTTCAGAGTTTCTTGATAATTGAGAAAATGAGAGATGATAAAATTGGGATGGAAAAGGTGTTCACAGCAAGAAGTGTTTGGATTAGAGAGGTGTTGTTAGTATATAAAGGTTTTACTGTAGACGACTATAGAGTCATATTTCGTGGACAAATATTTCTTAGTATTTATAGAAGTTCAAATCTGACTTTAGATTTGATATTTCACCTATTTCAATGACCTTCTTAAGGTCAAAAAAGGTCAAAAAGGTATTATATCAACTTGCTTCCAATTGACCAAATTAGATGGTTACATTTTGTCATGTTAATCCCTTGTATTTCCTCCTAACTTCAAGCGAGTCATGTACTGTTATTGTGATTTTTTTTGTTTTCAGTGCCTGCTGCTGGCTTTACTCAGAGGGCTACCATAGACCCAGACCTCAATGAGATTCATGTCCTTTCAGTAAGACTTTCTATTATTAAGGCTATTTAACCTCTATATAGATTTCACATTTCAGAAATAGGCAGAATCATATATTGTGTATGATATACAAAAGTTACGATATCATATCCTATCAGATTATATTTATAATTTCATTGCATAATATTATATTTTTCTTGTATTAAATATTATTTTTTATTGTAGGGGTTAAGCAAAGACAAGGACAAAAGAGACAATGTGAAAAATTCATTCTGGGTTTATGATATAGCAAAGAACAAATGGTATGTTGAATATGTTTATTTCCGTTCAATCTGCACATATTCATGTAAAACACAACCTAAAATTATCTTAAGTATGTATCACTGAATGATAGGATAACACTTCTAACTCGTTTAGGGTTATTTATTTTTCTAGGTCATTTACTGTACATTCTGGGATATGTATACATTTTAGATGGGAGACATCTTTTTTCAAACCATTCAGGCATTACTAAATGCAGTTTACTTCAATAGATGTATATCATAAATAATCACCTTTTCAAAGTTTAATTACGACATAGATCTGTACATGTTGTTTACACCTGCAAGTCTAATCAGTTACAGTGACTCGAAAAGGTTATGATCATTTAAAATGTTATGTTATACTAACCCTATTAAAACTGTTTAATATAATTCTAGGTCATGTATATACAAGAATGAGAACACAGGTCACCAGTATTGGAACAAGATGCAACATATAGAGCCAGTACCAAGATTTGCTCATCAGCTTGTTTATGACTACATTCACAAGGTAAGCTTATATAAAATTTTTGTATTGATAAAACATTATACAGGGTGTCCATAAAGTCTCTTTACACTTAACCCAGAGTTTGTATGGTAATTGTAGTGATGTTATGGAGATCCTTTACATTGTACAAGGAATGGTGGGAGATTCCATGCGAATGCAGTGTCCTATACAGTAGTTTCTAATATATAACAATGTGATGGGATGGTTGAAGATTCCTTATATATACAGTATCATACATATACTCGGGGTGGAAGGTGTGAGAATTGTGCAAAAAATGACTTTGTGAGCTGGATGGAGTTTCTCTGTATTTTTCACTCAATTAGGGTTTCCTGCATAAGGGATTTCGCCTGCGAAGCATATAACTCTTGCGAACATATCTAAATATTGGTCCGAGGAAGACATACCTTGAATTTTTTAGAAAAAAATTGGCTAAAAATGGAAACTACAAAAAGTCAAAATGTTCAACTCAAACAAAACTCTAGCTATTTAATATTAACACTATGTATTATTTAATGTTTTTCAGATGTTTAAGGACCTTCATTAGTGTACTAGTGTCTAGAAATAAGATAATTAAGGACAAAATTTGGCATTTTTGATCATTTTCGCTTTCAGCAGTAACATATAGTTCTTTATATCTTGAGTTTAATGTTGACTGGTTGTTGCAATTTTGATTAAATCTGTGCTTGTAAATGTCTTCTTCCATTTAAGATACAAAAAATGTATATTGGACCACCAATGGTCATATTAGAGCTTTCAGATCTCCCCTACCCCATTTATTATGAAAAATTACTGAAACATATGAAAATATAAAATAACTTGAATTTATAAACTTTAACAATGTTGTAGCTATTCTATATCAATATTATGTATTATTTAATGTTTTTCAGATATTTCAGAACCTTTATTGGTATACTAGTGCCTAGAAATGAGACATTTAAGGACAAAACTTGGCATTTTTTAAAATCATTTTAGCTTTCAGCAGTAACATATAGTTCCTCATATATTGAGTTTTATGCTTACTGGTTGTTGCAATTGTAAAGAAATCTGTTTTTGTAGATGTCTTCTTCCATTTAAGGTATAGAAAATGTATAGTGGACCACCAATGGTCATATTAGAGCTTTCAGATCTCCCCTACCCCATTTATCATGAAAAATTAAAGAAAAATATGAAAATATAAAATAACTTGAAACTATAGACTTTAATAAAGTTGTAGCTATTCTATATCAATATTATGTGTTATTTAATGTTTTTAAGATATTTCAGAACCTTTATTGGTAAACTAGTGCCTAGAAATGAGACATTTAAGGACAAAACATGGCTTTTTTGACCATTTTCGCTTTCAACAATACACTATAGGTCCTTATATCTTGAGTTTAATGCTGACTGGTTGGTGCATTCTTAGTCAAATTTGTTCTTGTAGATGTCTTCTTTCATTTAAGATATAAAAAATGTACAGTGGATGACCAATGTTCATAGTAGAGCTTTCAGGTCTCCCCTACCCCATTTATTAGGAAAAATGACCAGAAATATTAATAAAAAGAAAAATAACTTCAAATTATGAACTCTTACAAAGTTGTACCTATTCTATGTCAATACTATGTATTATTTAATCTTTTTCTGATGTTTCAGGACCCTCATTAATATTCTAATGCCTAGAAATGAGATATTTAAGGACAAAACTTGGCTTTTTTTTCATTTTCGCTTTCAGCAATAACGTATATAGTATAGGTCCATATATCTTGAGTTTTATGCTGACTGGTTGGTGCATTCTTGGTCAAATCTGTTCTTGTACATGTCTTCTTCCATTTAGGATATAGAAAATGTATATTGGACAACCAATGTTGATATTATAGCTTTCATGTCTCCCCTGCCCTATTTATGTAAATGAAAAAGTAATTTCAAATCATCAACTTTAAGAAAATTGTAGCTATTCTCTATCAATACTATGTATTATTTAATGTAACCTTCATTTGATTACATGTGTCTAAAATTTGGCATTTTTAGCATTCTGCATTTAGCAGTAGCATATAATGTTTTTTATTGAATCTGTCTTCTCTGATTTAACTTAAAGAAAATGTATGTAAGACAATGAATGTTTTTATTAGAGGTCTAAGATCTGCCCTCCACCAAATGAGAAAACCAACACAAATGTTATTATTGCATGTTAATATTCTTAAACTTTTCAAAAGTTTAGCATATTTATTAGCACACTAAAATCAAAAATGACACATAAATGGGCAAAATGACCAATGTTTCACTTTCAGCAATAGTTGTTTATATTTTTAGTTGAATGGTGATTAGTTGACATATTTTAGATCATATATATTCAACTATGTGTCTTGTTATCTTCAAAGCATGGAAAATGTGTTTTAAACACAAATATACATATTAGAGATAAAATTACTACACTACTATATTTTTAAAAGATTACTCAAAAATAGCATAGTGCGAAATAATTTTGTAATTTCACAGTTTACTCTCATATGAATCAAAGGATATGTCTTTATATAGACATGATTGTTCACAACTCTCGAACTTAATCCAGCAACAGCCTGATTTTTCAAATCTCCCTGGTTCTATGTTAGAGCTGCATTTAAGTCATTTTAAAGGTAACTGGTCAACTGGTACCCAAGACAAGTCGTACCCAAGCATATGTTTTGTTTTGAATCAAGTGTTGGACTGGGAATGTGTAAAGATATACATATTATAACTGTAACATGCTGTTCAGAAGTTTGAAGAATTTTCAGAAGAAATTGATATAATTTTGTAACATTTTGAGCTTTGAGTGTCAATTTATTTTGACTATTATTTTATATTGGATGTTCGAGTGAAGAGATATATGTTTATTCCACACATTCATAATCATTTTTTTAAATATTGTATGTTTATGAGTGTTTGGAACAAGTGTCAGATTTAATTCATCTTGGAAGATGGTATTATTATAAGTGTATTGATTCATCAAATCTTGGGCCTAATTTCTTATTAAACAGATAATCTATTTGTCTAGGATTTCATATTATCAGAAGTCATATTCATGAAATTTAGCAATAAAATATTTTGAATAACATAATAATAGTATACAAGTAATAATATAGTATAATATTAATATCAAATATTATTTTGGTACTTATTCATACATGATAGTACCCCGGACAGGTTGTATGATGCAGTCTTGTTTTTACTCTGTATTTGCAATGGAACAACCATATTTATTGAAATTTTCAAGTTTTATTCTAGAGACAATTTCCAACATGGAAAAAAAATATTTTATCAAAATTTCCAATTTTATGATTTTGATAGGCTTTTTCAAAAAAACTACACTGTCAATAATATACAGGTTTTTGCTTGAAAATTGAACTTTTAACGTCATTTCAAACATTGTCTGGCTATTGAATTCTCGGCCGCCTAAAGTCTTTCCAGATACATCTTTTGGCATAATAATTATTGCTGATTATTGTTATTCACTTTAGTCATATTCAATATTATTACAGTGCATTAGGCCAATAAAAAACATGTTGCTCTGGATTTCGTTTTGTGAAGCCTTCGCTAGATTAAGCCCAGATAGAGGAGGTAAATCGTCTTGTCCACACACACGAGTTCAACCCGATCGAACTGTTCAATACTGTTCAAAATGAAGTAAAACATTACGAATCTCCAACTTCAAGTATTCCTGGCATTAGATACTTCAGACATGTTAATACAGCTGTGTCAAATTAGATATTATCTTGAAAACCTGACATATTCAAAGCATGGTTCAATTTACATACCACAGGGTTGCTTACTGAGTGACGGTGGTGGAAAACCCCAGTGGTGAAAAAGGTGCGTTATCAGAGGAAACATGACCCAGAGTGACAAGTTTTTCAATGGCCTAATGCACTGTAATTATATTAGGCCTACTGAATATGATAACAATGAATAACAATAATCAGCCATAATTAATATGGCATCAAATACATCTGGAAAGACTTTAGGCGGCCAAAAATTGGATAGATAGACAATCTTTGGAATGAAGTTAAATGTTCAATTGTTCAAGCAAAAACCTGTATTTTATTGACAGTGGAGTGTTTTTGAAAAAAGCCTATCAAAATTATAAAATTAGGAATTTTATTAAAATAATTTTTTTCCATGTTGGAAATTGTCTCCAGAATTTAAAATGAATATTTCAATAAGAATTTTTGTTCTATTGGGAATATAGAGTAAAAACACGACTGCATCATACAACCTGTCCGGGGTACTATACTATTACACTTAGTATGCATGTGCATAATCCAATTTAGTTCCAATTGGAAAAAAATTAACAGATTAAACTTCCTTTAAACTTTCTCAAAATGCTCAAATTAATTGTTTGATTCATTTGTAGAAAAGTCACTGTTGTAATTATATTTATTTATATATATGTTTGACAGAAAAATTTGTGAACAAGCACTCCAAGCACTTGTTTTATTAGTAAAAAAGTGATTCAAGTTAAATCAATATGCTTTACTTAATCCATTGAGAAAAAATGTCTTCTAAATTCAAAAAAATATTGAGGCTTATTTGAGTCACATTATAACATGAAAACATAATTATACAAACTCAATTTGTTTTCCTAATATGCACCCATAATACTGGAAATAACTTGGGTACCAGTTATCTTGGGTACGACTTGTCTTGGGTACCAGTTGTCTTGGGTACGACTTGTCTTGGGTACCAGTTGACTAGGAAGCATTTTAAAGGTCTAAGTTGCTCATGACACCACAAGCTATTCAGATATGTAAGATCTCTAAATAATTTTTATAGTTCTGAGAAACTCATCCTTAAATATTGTCCAACGATGTGCACTATGTTGTTTATTGCCACATGGACAAGTAGCAAAACACCCTTGACTAGAAACTTTGTTTAGCAATTTTCGCTGCCTTTTGCCATTTTACATTTGCGAATTGCCAAGGACATATTATGTTTCTTGTGTTGCTACGAAGGTTTGTTTGTGAGTACTGGTACAAGATACCCAATTTTGATATATCTTCAAATAGGTAATGCACTTTGAGATTCATATAGTAATTTAGAATGCTACCTTGAAGGACATAAGAAACTTTAAGAGCTCTTTTTAACTCTCATCCTTCTTTGCAAGCAACATTCTGTATCATCAGACTGAATACAAATTCTCTCAACATTGAACTCCTTTGTCTTGTCTGCAGCACTGTAATAGACATGGGCCATAAGGAGAGTGTCAACTTCTTCATGATCAGTATTTGATAGATAAGTTGCAACTATCAGTTTTGCAAAGTTCAATAGCAGCTCTGCCATAAGTGAAATTCATCCCATTTTAGAGATACAGTAACATTGCTTCACAAACCAAAGACAGCTTACCATTTTGTAATCCTTTCCAAAATCATCTTGTTGGCTGTTCTTCATTTCACAATGTTTACATTTACCAAAATATCCCCAAGCCCAATATCCATCATGAACTTCCTAATTACACCACCCTTAGGTGTAATATGGAAATCACCAAGCCTTTGACAACATTGCATTTGATATGAGGGAATTCAACCAATATGGCTTGATCACTGGTTATAATTATCACAGAACTATACCCCATTATTTTTAAATATATTCCAAGTATTGTACTATACATTGCATAGATTCATGAGCAGTTTGCAACATATCATAACCAGAAAAGCCCAATGGACAAAGATAGAGAATACCCGCCCCATTTGCAACTCAACTTTAAATGTCTAATTTTTAGACTTGTATACTCATGAAGTTCCTGACTCATCTGAAAAATATCAAATAATACATAGTATTGATCTAGAATAGCGACAACTTTGTTAAAGTCTATACTTTGAAATTGTTTGGTTTTTATATTTCTGGCTATTTTTTCAAAATAAATGGGGTAGGGGAGATATGTAAGCTCTAATATAATGACAGGCTTTCCAATATACATTTTTAAATACCTTAAATCAAAGTAGGCAGGCAAAAGAACAGATTTGATCAAGAATCCATCAACCAATCAGCATAAAACTCAAGATATAAGGAACTATATGTTATTGCTAACAGTGGAAATGATGAAAAATGCCAAATTTTGTTCTTAAATGTCTAATTTCTCTACACTAGAATACTAATGAAGGTCCTGAAACATTAATTATAGCAATCAATAACACATAAAGAATAGTTACATCTTTGTTCAAGTTTATACTGGTAGTTTGAAGTTATTTTTTTTATATTTTCCAGTCATCTTCCCTAATAAATGGGGTAGGGGAAAACTGAAAGCTCTAATATGAACATTGTTTGTCTACTATACATTTTCAGTACCTTAAATGGAATAAGACATGTACAAGAACAGATTTAATCCAAAATGTATCAATCAACCAGTCAGCATAAATCTCAAGATATGAGGATCTATATGTTACTGCTGAAAGCAGCATTGATTAAAAAATGCCAAGTTTTGCCCTTAAATGTCTCATTTCTAGCCACTTGAATACCAATAAAAGTTCTGAAAAATCTTAAAAATATTAAATAACACATAATATTGATAATAGAATAGCTACAACTTTATGAAAGTCTATAATTTCAAGTTATTTTATTTTTTCATATTTCTCGTTTATTTTCCATAATTGATGGGGTAGGGGAGATCTGAAAGCTCTAATATGAACATTGTTTGTCTACTATACATTTTCTATACCTTAAATGGAAGAAGACATGCACAAGAACAGATTTGATTGAAAATGCAACAATCAGACAGCATAAAACTCAAGATATGAGGAACTATATATTACTGCTGAAAGCGAAAATGATAAAAAAAATGCCAAGTTTTGTCCTTAAATGTCTCATTTCTAGCCACTTGTATACCGCTATAGGTTCTGAAATATCTTAAAAACATTAAATAACACATAATATTGACATAGAATAGCTACAACTTTGTTAAAGTTTATAATTTCAAGTTATTTAATTTTTCATATTTTTCGGTAATTTTCCATAATAAATGGGGTAGGGGAGATCTGAAAGCTCTCATACGAACATTGGTTGTCCACTATACATTTTCTATACCTTAAATGGAAGAACATATGTACAAGCACAGATTTAATCAAAAATGCAACAACCAGTCACCATTAAACTCGAGATATAAGGAACTATATGTTAATGCTGAAAGCGAAAATGATTAAAAATGCCAAATTTTGTCCTTAAATGTCACATTTCTAGACACAAGTATACTAATGAAGGTCTTGAAACATCTGAGAAACCTTACATAACACAAAATATTGATATAGAATAGCTACAACTTTGTTTGAGTTGAACATTTTGACTTCTTGTAGTTTCCATTTTTAGCCATTTTTTCTAAAAAATTCAAGGTATGTCTTCTTCGGACCAGTATTTAGATATGTTCGCAAGAGTTATATGCTTCGCAGGCGAAATCTTTTATGCAGGACACCCTAATAGAATAAAAAATACACAGAAATTCCATCCAGCTCATAAAGTCATTTTTTCCTTAACGGAGCCTCTTAGAAAATTTTCCACCCCGAGTAATAGTAGTTTCAACAGAATTGTTTATCCTCATATAAAAGAGTTGTCCAAAAAGTGTTGAAATCTTTGCTGGGTGACCCTCGACCCTCGTACATGTAATATGTACAAGATCACTTTCAAATTCTCAACTGTACTTATCTGGTTCTTTTATTGCATGCTGGGGTTGATAACTGACATATCAATACACATGGATATAGCATACTATTACACACCAAGTAAAGACAAAGCTAAGGCAAGATTATTGACGGATCTTTGACCAATTATGATCTTAGATTTCAACTGAGGTTCTAGTAATAATATACATGCATTCCAGGTACATTATCTCTTTGGTGGTAACCCTGGTAAAGACAGTCTTCCCAAGATGAGACTTGATGACTTTTGGGCATTGCAGGTATATTGATGTTTAACTCACAATTATATATCATGCTGGTATACATGTATGTAAGTTGTAATGTCATTTTCAGATATTGTGACATATTGTTATGGTGTTCGCCTTTTTTAGGGTGGTGGTTGGTGTTCAGTGTTCGGTGTCTGTAACAAATGGTAGGTGCTGGCATTTTGCATGTTAATGCCTGATTTTGTTCATTCATGATTTTTTTAGACACTCACAGTTTCTTTTGATTTTTTATTCCAGTTAAGTCGACCCTCTACCTATCATTTATTACGACGCTGCAAGTATCTCATTAGACGTCACCGTTACCAAGAAATGGCCATGACACAACCCATACAAGCTTTAGAATACTTGCAGACATCACTAACAGATGTGGTGGATCATGATGATCCAAATGAAATCAAGGAAGTAAGAAAATATTGTTTTAACAAGTTTTTAATTACATAGATATTACACTGTAGCACATGCAAAATAATGAACTCAGTCAAAATTTTACACCATGTTTCTTTACTTTTCAGTTCCAACTGCTTACATCAACATTATTCAAGAACGCAACTGAGGAACCTGTATTAGAGACAGATGTCAATCTCAATTACAAAAGCCGTTCAAAACTTTTCGATAGCTTGGTTTCATTTTTCCCAGATCACATGACCCAGCCCCAAGGAAACCTTATAGACTTGATCACCCTCGGCTGAGCACTTGGGAGATGCCAACAACAAGGGGGTATAGATATATGATAACATGTGCAGAAAACATCCTTATATCCCTTAAATGGACAAGTGAACTCATCCATATTGGAAACTTGGTGTATACTGAATTCTTAAAATCGCGGATTCGGTAGTATTGAATCTCTAATAAAGATGGCGCGAAAGTTTTTCCTTATAAGGTCAAAATATTTCCCATGATGCAGTTCGCGGGGGAACAAAATTTTTCTACCTTGTTTTTCCCCGTTGGTTTAACATGGGGATTTTCATACCCATTTTTCAAGCGATATTTTCGATCGAATCTCCATGCGATCGGAGAAAACAAACTATCAGAAACAATTAGTCTTTTAATAATCTTTATATAACATATATTTTTTTTCATTTTATTGGCTCCTAACGGGGTGAAAACAATGATTGAAAATGGGAGTATATTCCGGAAGAGAAGAAGTCACGTGACTAGTCGCCATATTGGAAAAAGCAATTCCATTCGACTTTCAACACGTTCATGCCAATATTACCGCACTACAAACTGTAACATCGATGCAACAACTGAATAAAAGTACTCATCTTCATATTACATTATAGAGTTACGTTGAAAACCCACAAACAACTGAGCATTTGACCAAAGAAGACACGTCGCTATTATCTAGGTCAAGTTTAGTGGTTCGAAAGCAAATCTTACATACTCGTTTCCGAATTTTGTTGTTAATTGTATAATCTTTTATTGATTAAATCTGGTATACTGACTATTAATTCAATGACAAAGAAGAAGAATTCCGATGGTGTCATTTTTTTATTTAGCTTGCGGGTGTAAAAACAAAATTGCGTAATTAATTTGATTTAGAACTTTCGGGTCTCACAAATAGCTACACGAAATGCATCGTTGAAAAATATTGACCAATCAAATTTTGTCCTTTTTGAGTACATATATGCACCATATATGCGAACGTTCTGATTCAAAGAGCGAACAGCGAAATGGAGAATTAAAGTATATCAAGTGGATTCGAAAGACACCCATGGAAATAGTTTTACCTTGTTTCAAGTATTTGAAGACTCAACCATATTCTACTCTGCTATCCAGGCCACAGAGGTACAATAGTTTACATCTAACACCCCTGTTACTTCTACTAATCATGTTATCTGTTAATTGTTTAAAAGTATTATGAACAGACACATTGGTTTTAGACCAATATAAAGATGGCAATAGTATTTATCATCACTCCAAAGAAAGAGGAGGGAAAACCTTTGAGATGACAGGCATATAATTATGTCTCTTGCTTGCCACTTTTATTTTTTGTCCCAACTCTCATTGGTGAGTTTGCGAATACAACATGTCTGTTTTGATTGATGTTAGCATATTCCTTACTTCTTTCTTTATCTTGATGTGAAATATCAAGCTATGATATTGATTTACACACCAGAAGTTTACATAATATCATTCAAAGCATTTCTAGAAATTTTTAAACCACCATTGAATGGCGTCATTTGTCTGTCTGTCATTTCTCAGCGATGTCTTCTCAATACACATTTACATTATAGACATTATAGAAATGTCTTCTTTGAACCCTGGGGTTCCCCCTCTTCTCCAAAATATGCAAATTGATCACACTGCCATCTTTTTCTTAAACAGTATTTCTATTTCCCATTGGTGTATATTTGGCAAGATACTTTGTGAGTATTGAATAGAGCTTGTGTGTCATGCCATTACATCTTGGGGGAGCTTGACTTTTTGGGAGAAAAAGTGTGGGTCAATTTTTAGGAAACTTTGTCTGGTTCTGGGTTATAACACCCCAAGATTTAATGGTTTCCCTAAGAATTCAGCCTATGAAAAATTCACAAAGAGTAAAAATTGAAAAAAGAATCGAAGCATGAGCCATAATCAAAGTAAACTATTTCTCTATGGATTGTTATTTATTGAATCATGTTTCAAGAGTCCATTAAAGACTCGTTTGATTAAATATTTTAGAACTTATCTCAGGAGCGTTGGTAAAATATAACAATGGTCGCTTTGTCTAATATAGCCTTTAAATATAAAATAGATTGAGATGATCCTTTATTTAAGTACAGCTGTTATTCATGTCATGTCATTTAATATTGTGGTAAAAAGCCAGCCATTCATATTTTCATTGAGTCATTGACTTTTAACTTTCTAAGCGGAGTCTTGTCTTGCATAAATACATTTTATCATTCAGTAATGGTATTTATGTCATAGTTGTCAATGTCAAATGGCAGCTTACGGCCTCATATTTATTAATATAAAGATTCATCATGCTACACCATTGATTTATGCATACATCTACTGTATCTAAGTACAAAGTGGGAGTGTCCACAGACTCAATGCTCATTGGTCGGAAACCACTTTTCCGAGGCTAGGTTAACTTTTTCAGTTGATGGGAATGTTAAAGGTTTATTATCTGTGTTATGGGCCACCATATGTCACCCTGTAAAGTTATTTGAATGTTCTTGCCATGTTATTGTCAACTGTAAACATAACTTACTTTTTGTTTACAATACACTGAATATCATATTTTCATCTATGTATTTCATCAAATCAATCTCTTATATGTTAGAAATAGAAATGAAATAGGTACTGTGATATTAAATGTAATATTTAAAAAGATAGCCATCAAAATCTTTAAAAGACATAGATATCTAGTTATACATTGGAATACTTGATTTTGTCCAGCTCATTTGACATAAGTTCCGTTCTCAATTGTATTTTTGGAAATCAGCTGGTTAACATGAAAAATTTTAAATCTATAGTTTTGCCTGACTTCCCTACCTTATACTTCTGTTTTCTAAATATCTAATAATATTTATGTATTAAAGGGCCTTAAAGACCATGTAAGCATCAGTATTATCTGGGTTCAGATAGAGCAGGAGAATTGTTATTATGTCACCACCCCAAGTGATGACATATTGATATGGCTTCAAACATTTTGTAGACAGCATTTGGCTGTTTGTATTTTGAGGTTGGAATTTGGTGTCTGTAACAAATGGCAGGTGGTGAGATTTTGCATGTTAATGCCTTGTTAGGACTTTATACCCTAGGTCATATGTTATGTAACCTATATATAGTCGGTAAAACTGAAGAATAACAAAAATGTGTTCATAATAAATGTATCTATTTTTCCATGTGATTTTGATTTACATTCTTGTATACCTCATATATGAAAAAAGAGGACCTCTAGATGACTATATAGGACCTCATGTATGACTAATAGGACCTCATATATGACTATATATGATAACTTGTGCAATGTAGAGAACTAGTGAACCTTTAAGACAGGATGTATTTTATAGTATCAGCCATTTATTTATAAATAGTTTATTACCAGAAGATTTAGTGTTGTATTTCATGATTTATTTTCATTACATTAAATAAAATGCATAATGCTACTTTGAATTTGTTAATTTTACTCCTAATTTGTAATAATCAAATTAATATGCAAAGTTTTCTGCCAAGAAAGATTAGAATGTCTTGATTGCAGGAACCAAATCAGATCTTTCTTTGTGGAACATATGGACATTTTAATAGCAGTTTGGATCCATGAACATAACAACCTATATTTATATAATACCAGTGAAGGGTTGTTCTGTCTGTCTGCTAGCATATACATACATACTCGTATTTCGTGACTGTATTGCCGAAGAAAAACTGCAGAAATTTGGTTTTCAAAATTTCGCAAAATATGGAATTTGTTTAAAATTTTCAAACTTCCACTTTCGCAGTTAAAGATTACATCTAATATATCTTAAGATGTCATCACAATGACATATTAGTCAGAAATTTGACTTCCCTGCATATTGATCTGCGAGTTTTTGATAGTTCAGACCTATGCTGTTGCTATTCACCATGTTTGAAATTTAAAGATGCAGGATTTGGCGCAGAATTTGGGATTATATGCAGGATTTTGCACAGAATTTGACTATTTCATGCAGAATTTGCATTTTCTCATAAAGAAAATTAGTATGTGTGCAACTGTGCATGAAAATGTTGAAATTGTATTGATAGCTAAAATCACCATAGTAACATCATTGAATTAATGTCAAAGTGACATTTATTATCAGATGTCATATAAAGAGTGATTCGTTAACCTTAGTCTGTATGTTGTCAATCAAAGGATGTTCGAAATGAAAACATTCATAGAAATGCAGAATAAAAGTCATGAATGATTCTTTTGACAGAGGATGTTCACCTCATATTGATCCAGTTGGTTATTCATAGACCTATTTTGATTACAGTAACATTTTTATTAACATTCGTTTTTTGCCATTAGTACAAACATGACATTTAGCGGACATTCATTTAGAATTTAAACCTCATAAAAAGCCATATAAGCTGCTTCTAGGTGACAGAGCTCAGCATAAACTGTAGTGGAAAACCATGTGATGTACAAGCTTTCTATCTCTATTTGCACTTTCTCTACTCTCTATATTGCAAGTTCTAGTTTGTGACTACACTACTCCTTTATGGATATTTTCAACAGCCTGGGCAATCCTGAACAATGTTGGCTCAGCATAATGTTTGGCCACAATTTGTAACCCTATAGGCAGGGACCCGTCATCTTGTATGGGGACTGTGATGGCTGGGTGACCTGTTATGTTGAATGCACGTGGGTTGTACACCCCTATACCCCGACAATGGCTCACAACATCTGGAGTAAATATAGACTATAAATATAGAATATATAACTGTTTTCAACTAAACATGTCCAAGAATATACATGTATATATATGTTATAGTCCATGTTTGATTACTAATTTTGCTAGGGTAAAGATAAAAATGTTTCAGTATGATGTTTAATTAGAAGATTTTAACAGCATGGGATGGGACAGAGGATGAGGTACCAAGGTGTTCAATGAGAAGATTAGGGCATAGGATGGGATGGAGGGTGTGGGGCCAGGGTGTTCAATTAGAAGATTAGGGCATAGAATGGGATGGAGGGTGTGGGGCCAGGGTGTTCAATTAGAAGATTAGGGCATAGGATGGGATGGAGGGTGTGAGGCCAGGGTGTTCAATTAGAAGATTAGGGCATAGGATTGGATTGGTGTGGGGCCAGGGTGTTTAAATTTAAGACTTGATGAGGGCATATAGGTTGGAGGGTGTGAAAACATGGAGTTTTTGGTAAATGAGGATATGAACTTATCCACTTATTTTGAATTTGATATTGACTTACACATAATCGACACTATGAAGTTCTTCAAAAGTATATGTTATATCGAGTAAACTATTCTTCAACACTACATTACTACTTATTTAAACTATAATTATCAATGAATGAAGATATAGAAAAAATATGAGTGTGCAGATTCACAAGTCAAATATTGGTATTTATTATATCACTGTCATATTCCTCACTCTCTGATTGGTCCATGTCCTACACCTGACTAGAAAAAAACAAGCGATATTCAACAGAAGTCGTGTGACTTCAGTTGAATATCAAATGATATTCACCAGTCCGAGTGTAATTTAAATTTTATATATACTCGGGACTTCATTGTTATGATTAATCAATACTTTAATACATAGTTTGAGGAATATAACAGTGAATAATAAAACAAATGTTTCATTCTATTTTCGGTGAATACCTGTGGCACTTTCACAAGATGATATTCCACTAGTCTTTCAGTCTCTGGGAATATCACTTGTTCAAGATGCAAAGGTATTCACCTCAATAGAATTAACTATTTGTATAATACTTAATATGAATAAAAGCGATATCCACCAGAAATAATGTCACGAGTATATAGAAATTCAGTGCTCACGTGTCAATTCTTGAGGAGTATTTCAATTTTATGTGCCAGTTTGAATATTGAAAGTTCATCAAATGGTTTGCCAATAATTTGCAAAGCCACTGGAAGAACATCTTTTGTAGATACAGGAATACTTAAAGCTGGGTGGCTTGTAACATTGAAGGTGCCACTGTTTTGACCTTGACTCATACAATGTCGCAATAAATCTGTAAAAAAACATATAGAGCACAAGGATGCTAGTCGTCCATGTAGGTAATTGTCGGACACTCAATGCAGGCCTTCTTTTGTCCGACAATTACCTACATGGATGACATTGCCTCCCTATCCTCTAAAGGCTGTATTATAAATACGTACTGTACAGGGTGTCAAAAAACAACAGCACCCCCCTCTACAGCAAAATGTACTTAATGTTACATAGTGTGTCATATCCCATTTTAAAGACAATTTAATTCTGGAGTTACTTGAGAAATTTCAGCTTTGTATGATATAATTTTACAGATTTACAGCTGATTATAAGTAATTTGTATAGCGGCCACTTGCTGCTCAAAAAGCAGCTAATCAGGATGAATATGATTTCAATGAAGATTCAAAGGAAGGTTCAGTATTGCATAATCCTTTAAGCACTTTCCTCATATTCTTCAGAAATACATCCTTACTGTTTCCATTTTCAAGGGGCCCCCTATCCATCAATTCCCCTACCCTGTCTTTCACAATTGAACCTATTTGTTCAGCGTAGATGAGATCTGGGCTATTTCTTAAATATTAATCATTTCCAATATTTTACCTTAAACCAGTAACAAAGTAGTAAACAAAGTACTGAAGTAGCAAACTTCAAAACAATGCAACTTTTGTAATTTAAAGTTTTATTAAATGAAATTTGATGAGTAACTCCAGAATTAAATTATCTTTCAGATGATATATGACATGATATGTAACATTAAGGAGTTTTTGCTGTAGAGGGGGGGGTGCCGTTGTATACTAATACTCACATACCAATGCACTAACAATGTTGGCATTTGGCAACTATGTAATGCTTTATTTTTGATTATCTCTCATTGAACTTCAAAAGCAAAAACATATGAACCCTAATTGCAAAATCCTGTGAAGATACAGTACAATATATGAAAAGTTACAGTTTCGAGATACCCCATGTTATATTCAGGCTGGATAACGAAACAACTTGTCAAGAAGTGAGGTTGACTTTGTGTGCAAGATATTAGGGATGTGAAAGGTTGGATGATAGCTAAAAGGAGTTAATTTATAACAAAGAACTAGAATGACTAAACTACATGGTGAAAATATCTTAAAAAGTTCAATATAAAAAATGTTGGTGATGCGACAAGTGTATATCTATCTACAAAGGGTAGTTAAGTACCTACAGGTATACACCCCCTCCATAAGTATGGCAAATGGAGGTTCACATTAGATACCGGTTAAAGCCTTCAATCTTTATTTTATTTCTCAAATACAACAAGTCAGAATATGTCAAATTTGAGAACTTGTTAAATTCACTAAATATAAAGAGACTTTAACATGTTGCCCTAAAGGAACCTTCCAATTTCTAAACTTCTGAAGGGGAATGTAAATATCTATTAATGAAAGAATTTTAAATTTTACCTAAGATAGAGGCATCTTTTGGAGGTAGTTTGGTTGGTCTAAAGCATATAGTTGGCATCATGAGAACATCATATTGTTCCAAGGCAGTGTTGTAGGCATCTGTTAACACACGTTCAAGGTTCTTGGCTTTACTGTAGAAATGACTACCTGAATATGCAGATGGACAATTATTGTGTTTCTGTATTTATTCACATCCCAGACTCCTAGTGTTATAAACAGTGAACGCAAATAAATAAAATATTAGGTACAGGTCACATCTGAAAAATGTTATACCAGGCCAGCATGCTATTTTCTGGTCCTGAAATGTAAGTTTGATGATCTACCTTTATAAGATAATTTTTTACCCTTAATAAGAGCATGATTTATCTCGAAGGACTTACCATAGTTTTGTGATAGGTATTCTCCCAATAACAGGGTGGGAGCTATGGTAGGTGGAATGTCTCTGGGGTGGCTTTTAACAGCTTTTTCTAAGAAATCTTGAGTAGTAGTTGGATAGAACCCCTTTCCAGAAGATCCTGTAACACAAATGCATGCAGGCAAAGTAACATGGGAAAACAGACTTATTCACTTAAAGGCCCCATGTAAAGTTTAAACCACAAAAAATTCCAAATATTGTGCATCAAAAGTGACAGATAGTGTTTAAATGATAAAGATATATTTTTAAACTTTACACAGAGCCTTAACAAAAAATGCTTGGTTAGTTACAGGGTGTCCAGTAAGTACTAAAAGAACACTGAAATTCATATTATGTACCTTGTATATCTGACTGATTTTTCTGCTGTCTGTTATGCTTATTTACTCATGAGAAATCAGTAATTTTGCGTGAAAAAGTAAAAAGTGGAAAGTGTCCTATTTATTGACTAACCTCCACCTTGAATCAAGGTTTTATAGTTTCCTTGGAAAGCTAATCCAATCCATATTGAGCAACCTAGAACGAAATAAATGAAGCATAAATGAATGCTGAAAATTTTTGCATGAATGAGAAGTTAAGGACAACATTAGAATTAACTGATTAAGGCTGATGTAAGAGTAACATGATCATTGATGTCAAGGTACATGTTGGTCACAGGGCAGAAATCTGGAAAATCATCTCTGTGAATATTCATTTTGAAATTCAGTCGGAATCAAAGTGTTTTGGCGGGAACTTTAAAAGTGTAAGAAAATGACTTGCCTTGTAAAAAGGGTCCATTAAATCATGCCTTCAGCTTTCATATTTGACAGATTGACACATTTGAAATAAAACAATTTATAGAAAAGCTGCAGTTTTCAGAAAGTTGTGTGTATATTATGAACATCACTGGTGGTCCGCTCGATTACGCTGGTTACCGAAACCGTTCTGTCGGAACGTTGAAGGTACGATTTTTATTTTTTCCTTATTTCACGCGTTTTAGGCAGAATCCCCACGTAAAAGAAAAATTGTACCTTCAATGTTCCGACATTTTGTTACCGAAACGATTCCAGCGTAAATGAGTGGATCACCAGTGAACATGTTGTAAGTTAAAATCATTATTTCAAAACGTGATGCACAGTGAGTAACCTTTTAAGTGCATAGGTATAGAAATCTCATCCACTGTGGTTCCCTTTGTTTTGAGTTGTTGTACTGTGTCACGCACAGTTCTTTCTATATCTGGGTCACATTTTTCAAATCCTTCTTTCACAAGGCCGACCCTCATCCCAGATACTTCTTCTGTCATCTGAAACAATGTTCCACATAAGATTTAATTCTCATGAATAACAATTATGTAATTAGGTATATATTTTTCTGTATTTTCAATGATCATATAACTATATCAGCTTTATGCTTTTTATTTAACTATGCCTTCATTCCCAAGGTTTCAGTTGTCTTTCCCTGAGTATAAACAAATCAGATTCTATTTTCCTGAAATCAAAGGTGTACATCATATCGAACTAAATTAACCAAACATACCAGTTTAGTATACTCTGGAACTTTAATATTCATAGGCTGCCTTGAATCTAGGCCATCATTTCCTGCTATAACCTCTAATAAGAGGGCACAGTCGTACACAGTCCTAGCCATTGGGCCTAGATGGTCTATGGAACTTTCTAGTGTTAGGGCACCTGTGTAGGGTACCAAACCAAAGGTAGGCTTTATACCCACAATGCCACACCAGGCTGCTGGGATACGTATTGATCCTCCCTGGTCAGAACCAATTGCCATGTCTATCTCTCCGCTTGCTATCTAAAATTGGATATTGAAAAGATGCACTAATCAATTTGATTGAAGTACCACAAAGGGCAATATTTGAATAACAAAATTCAACTCCTATAAACCAAATGAATTGAATTGTATGGGAATAGCTTTCCTCTTAGTTATTTATCAGTTACATGTACATGATGGAAAGAACACATACCAAAGCCCCGTTGCCACTACTAGATCCCCCACTACTTCTTGTTTGGTCATGTGGATTTAGCACTGGTCCATTATAAGATGTAGCACTGCTGCCACTAAAACATAAGTCCTCACAAGTTGTCTTCCCTTTGATCACCCCTCCTAAAGTACAGTCAAACATATTGATTTCTGCTTGAGTTACAACCAACAGTTTTACTTCAAAATCAATCTGGTTGAATTTTGAATACCTTTTTAAAGTTTGAAATCTGGAATTTAGTTATGTTGTCTGAATTCATCGAAATTAAAAGATTTGCAAGTTGATCTGTACGATTTCAAAAATGTAATTTGCCATGTCTATCAATATACTCTTTGAAATAAAAAAATTATATAAAAAAAAAAAAAAATACCTTCATCTAAAATGCGAGACACTACAGTTGCATCATATTCTGGCATGTGACCTTCCATCATCTTTGAGCCGACTGACATAGGTACACCTGCTACTCCGATGTTATCTTTGATTCCAACTTTTTTGCCTGATAGTTTACCAGTTGGTGATCCTTTGATGTCTGTTTTCCAACACCTGAAATATCAGTCATCATTATTATGTCACCATCAAAAGTGGTGACATATTGTTAAAGTCACAGGTGGTGACATTTTGCATTCAAATTTTATATGATGATGCCTTAGGGACATAGGACTCTGTTCAAGAAAGAATTTTCAAGATTGCTTATGAACTCAAAATCACTTTTCATGAAAACAATTTTTAGCTTTAATTTTTGATAACTTGAATACAGTTATTATGTCACCAATTTTTACAGTCTCTTATTTATTTTTTTTTGTAATGACGGTTGGCCTTTGGAGTTCGATGTCTGTAACAAATGGCAGGTGGTTACATTTTGCATGTTGATACCTTGTTTTATCTTTTGTGGACGTTATTTTCAGAACAAATTGTCATGGTAGACCTTTATATTTCAAGTCTTACTTAAAGGACCACGTGCAGTATGGCACATGATTTTAGACAGTCATATATTTCACCATGAGTACTTTCTGGCCATAAATACAGTGGCTTTTATTTCAAGTAAAGTCCCCATTATAGTAAAATATCAATCAAACTCTCTGAAAAATTATGGATTAGGGCCCCGCCGCCCCACCTTGGCACTTTTTGAAAAATGTTAGGCTTATTTTCTGAAAAGAGGATCTTGTTTTTCTTAATTTAAACATATCAAAAGTCTCCTCTACACTGTATTAACAATTTCTGAAAAGGGGATGGGTATTGAAATGAGTTAAAGTTAAAAACCACATTTTCCCATGTTATTTTCCCATAGGGAAAACTCATGCTATCCATTGTTTTCAGCATAATTTTGGTCATCGAAAATTGATATCTTCAAAACTAGACTTTCAATACCATTCTATTTTTGAACATGTCCTAGACCCCTTGTTGAATAATGTTTTCAAGCAATAAAAATCAGAAAAAGAAGATCCTCTTTTGAGTAAATAGGTTCAATATTTTGAAAAAAATGTTGACATGGGGTCCTTATTCATAATTTTTCGAATTGTTTGATTTATATTTTTATCATCATGGGTACTTCACTTGAAAGAAAACATATTGTTTTAATAAAAACCACTGTATGTATTTATGCCCAGAAAGTACTTATGGTGAAAGATATGACCGTCTAAAATCACTTGCCATACTGCACGTGGTCTTTTATATGTTGAATCCTTTTAATAAAGTGAATATAACATAACATATGGCCCTTTAGAACAGATCTTACATTGAGAGAACCTCATTAAATGTTATGGCAGCTATTAAAACAACCCATTAAACTAGTATAGACAAATTTATGACACAACTAATGCATGAATAACTTTCTAAAACATTTCTAATAAAGAAAACAGTGAAACAAGTACATTATGAAAATAATAGATGTTTAATTGGGACATCTAGGTCTATTTTCCCCCAACGAAAATTGTATTGCTAAAATTCACTAATGCTAGCTCCAGAGAAGAATATTTCATTCTGAATCTCTAAAAACATCAGGCCTTATTTCTAAAAAGTAGGTTCAACAGTTAAAATTAAACTCAACTTTTTTATAAGCTCCAGCAAATAGATCATATTTTCCCCGCCCTTTACAGATAAGAATATTGCTCCTGTGGCTGTGCATGAAAGATAAAAAATCATACATGTTTGACAATGATATATTTATTTAAAATAGTCATACTTATAGGATATCCTATGATTTTGAGGAATATCAATTTTATCTACGAGGTGATATTGATATGCGCACGAGATAGCGAAGCGAACGAGTGCATATATCAATATCACAGAGTAGATTAAAATGATACTCTAAAAAAATCATAGGATGTTCTTATTATCCTATGCTTACAAGGAGTGTACTAAATGTATAATATCATTGCAAATTGAATTTCATGCCAAATAGAGTCAATTTGGCGGGAAATCAACAAGCGGAGTATATCGTCACAATATCCTCCGCATATTGGGTTTTCCGAAGTATATCGTCACGATATCCTCCGCCTGGAGTATATCGTTATGATATCCTCCAGATATTCATTTTGCCAATAAATATCAAATTTATTTTTTAATGTTATTACACATTTAGAACACTAAGTGTAGGATAATACATATTATATCAGCAGACTGTCAGCACAGCTTGCTAGGTTTCATTGTGACTTATTTAATGCAATTAACTAACCATCCATTAAGGGCATTTTCTGCTTCAGTAGGCCTATATCCGGGTGTTCGTGGATACCTTACAGGAAGCCTGGGTTCAGTGATATCCTTCAGTATATTTAATTGACCACACATTTTATCCAGAAACTCTATGAAATTAAAACAATTCTAATAAATATGGAGATTTCATAATTTTGGAATAATGAATAACTTTTAATTGAACAGGTATACTACACTTTTACATAAATATTAAATTTTTGGATGCGATGGTACAGGACAGTTTGATTCTTGATAGAGTCATTGAAAAGATTTCGTCAAACATTGTGTCCTGTCTCAAATACTTTCTTGTCATTTAAATGGTAATCTTATGCCTGGGTCACATATGCTCTGATCCATCGGCCGGTGCCTGGATCGATTGAGTGTTTTGTTCAATATTGTATTCAATTTTGAACAAAATACTCAATCGGCCAGCCGCCGTAGTGAAAATCGGAGTAAATGTGACCAAGGCATAAGTAATGTGATTCAAGCTACAGGCTTATAGAAAAGGTAGACTGTAAATCTTGTAAATCTTGTAAAACTTGTAAAATGTGTTAATCATGTAAAGTTTAAGATATTATGTCAAAATGGTGGAAAAAACATTGTAAATGCCTTTATGTGATTTAAGGAACATGAAGGAAAAATATTTGCTGTTTGTTTCATCATATTTAGTTACAAAACAACTATATTAATTGTAGTATTGAATTACCAAATTGATATCAAATTGCTCATCCCTATCCTATCTTTATATAAAAGCCGTCATTCAAATTGATGTGTGGATGTCCCAAAAAGACTTCTGCTATGTTCTGTTTGGATTGAAAACAGATGAGAAAGATTTTCAAAGTAGATTCATGAGTTGTTTGAAATTACCAAATGAATAAGATTGTGTATCAGAATGCTGGTACCAGCAGGTCAACCTCCTAGCCCAACCAGAGTAGCCATGGGTGTAGCACCTGTTACGCTCAGTACGCCCATGCATACCAAATGAATTTGAAATAATGGAAAATGTGTTAGAATGCATTCATTTGTTTGCACATTTATTGATGATTCTGTATTTGTATATTAAAGGTGCAACAATGAGTGCAGATGGGCCATTCAATGATCATGGACAAGTGTCAAAATATATTTAAGTTTGGTTATTTCTTCAAGACTAACATATATTTTTTATTATTTCCAAAGAATCTTCCTGGATGAACATTATTTCAGCTGATATTCCTCTTGAAACATTGTGAGTCTCCCTCTATAGAAGCTTTGAACTGAATTTTCACTTCTTAATGCCGAAATTGACATTTTAAGAAAATAGGTTTGTCAAAGAAGATGCCAAATGTTGCCCTGATAGCTCAGAAAAAGTAAAATATTTCGAATTTTCTCTATTCGGGCCTTGTTGCCCCTTTAACCATTAAGTTTTATCAGAATAGAAATATTTCAAGTTGATGAAATGCTCAGATTGCATCAAACAACATCTTCGAAAAATACTTTCTGTGGGAGCCTACCCTGAACCCCCAAAATGCAGTCAGACATTACCAAGTGGGCATACCAACTCAAAATAGCCCTATGCCCATGGTAGCATAATATTACATTTACCAGTTGACATTGTTCCTGTGAGCATAGAGCAATCTTAAAAAAGTTTTACATACTGATTACATTGGGGTAAGACTACAACATAAGCCAAAGTGGTTTAAACTTTATACGAGGCCTTTAAAATCTTCTCCTTTCGGAGACTGACACTGATAATGAAATATATTGAATAGTCCCTAAAATGAAATTACAAGATTTACATGTTTTACAATTATTCAAGCTTTACACGATTTACAGTCTACCTATAGAAAACAAAGGTATCCATTTAGCATAGAAACAAATTAACAAACGCATACATACTATACTGTTCAGATATTTTCAGATAAGTCATGTGCATCACAAATGAGTGTCATTTTTATTATGAAGCCATTTTATCAATTTTTCTACCTTTGTGTCCTTTGAGATCTTCCAGGGGTATGTTGAGGCCTAATTTCTTTGATATCTCTTCTACCTCATCCAAGGTTGGGGGCTTAAGAGCTGGGGCAGAATACATCCTTCTTTTAGTCTGTTATATACTACAAATCAGTGATGTATACTCCAACAAATATGACAAAATACACTCCTAACATACTGTAGTTCTGTTTATATTGGTTGAAGTACAAATGTCCTGTATATTACGGTAACTTGTTTTATTTTCAAGCGCATCATCATAACGTCTCACATTTTAAAGGAGTCATGTGTTCAAATATTTTCTCTATTGGTGTTACGTATACATTCTATTGATTAATTTCTAATTTCATTAATGCTACACTGATTTTATGGTTTTTATTTACAAATGTTGCTATTTTTCTTGTTTTATATAGGTCACTGTGTGGTTTATTTGTTATCCTTTCCTGAAAGTAGGTAAGCCGAACAACAAACATCAAAATTAAGGTCAAACTTTGTTCTATTTTCTTAAAGATGTTTAAAGGACCCATGTAAAGTTCTGAAAATACATTTGATAAAATGTGAACTATAACCATTCCAGTCATTTCGCAATAAAAGTTGGATAGATTTAAATCACCAAATTTTTGTCAACACCCTTGGAAAACATGTTAGTTTTTGGGGCTTGCTGATTAATTTCTTGCTTATTTTTTATTAGATTTTTATCATGTATTTTGTCTGTATTGATGGTTGATACTGGCTACTAATTGTAAGTGGAACACCACCTCTTTAGTAGAATACCTCTAAAAGTTGAACACCTCTGTTAGTGGAACACTTTTCAGAGTCCCAAGACCAAATGCCTTAATGTTAAATGAACCTACATATTAACTTGAACACCTCCCAAGTTGAACACTTTTTAGAGGTACCAAATGTGTTCCACTGAGACAGGTTTTACTGCATATGGTTTTAAATGATAACCCATTGATCAGATGATCAAATAAGAAAGATATGATAGAAAGATATGATGAGTACCATTATGATTTTTTAAGTCAGTTTGAAAATGTATATCGATCCACTATTAACAATTGTTTGTCATGACAAGAGAAATGAGTTAGCTTGACCTGATATTCATGCTCTCAAGCATCAACAGTTGTTAATTAATAAAGGTTAATGAAAACACAAAATGAAATCCTGCATTACAGGCTGGTGTGAAAAAGTCAGTCCGCCCCAGTTGGGATCAAACCCACGGCCCCTCGCTTTCCGGGCAATTGCTGATCAATGAAGCATTATGATGTCACCAACACAAGTGGTGACGTATTGTTATAGTCTCCAACTTTTTGTAGATGGTGTTTGGTGTCGGGCATTTGGCGATTGGAGTTTGATGTCTGTAACAAATGGCAGGTGATGACATTTTGCGTGTTATGCCTTGTTTTGTTTATTGAAATGATCAATCATTGGATATGGAAGATTCATTTTTTACTTGATAATTTTTATGCAACTTCATTGCCAGATCAGCATCAACCTATACAGCCTATATGGTCGAAAAAATGGATTAAAAAAATTACACTTCTATTGTTACACTTATATTTATTTTTTAAGAAAGTTAAATATTTAAAAATAGATTTTATAGATTTCCTCAATAGAGTCTTAAATCTAGGTTAGTAAAAATACCTGATATGTTGAAGGCCAAATGTTCCTTTATCCCAGCTTATACATATAATTATTTATTCTCCATTAAATTACACACATCTAAATAGACACTTTACTTGATCATCTAGTTAACATGCTATCAATTCGTATGTTATATCAGAATATATTACTGCACTGTGCAATACAATGAATAAAATCTAGACTTATCAACATCTATTGATAACAGGATAATACATATAACTAGGTTTATAAGACATTTAAATGTGTATACATGTCTTATAGGTAATATAAGTACGTAAGTTGATAATACATTGTTATTTTCTGAACTATTAAAAGGACTAGGACAGAGAGTACAAACAGAAGTTGAGTTGATTGTGATGGATGATTTAGTTTTGTGTCAATGACATATTAAAAGATTGAAAGTATTGACATTTCACTTGTTTCCAATTTGTGGTCTCTTATTTTCGTGTCTATTAACCTTGTGTGGTTTACATTTCAGTGCCTTGGTTAGTTGTTCGTATGTCGATTTATTTGTGATCCATGATTGAATAGCCATGGCCAATAGGGTACCTCTAGCAAGCTGAAAATGTGTGCAAACTGCAATCTGGATTGTGCAATCTGTTGATACTACTCCTCTCGGAATGGCCAACAATCTTAGCAATGGTACAATGGTCATATTGTTGCAATGTGTGCAATTTGCAATCTGGATTATGCAATCTGTTGATACTACTCCTCTCAGAATGGCCAACAATCGTTGCAATGTTGTAATGTGCAGATTGTTGCAATGTGTGCAATCTGGATTGTGCAATCTGTTTTATACTACTCCTCTCAGAATAAATCTTCGATGACATCTATATTTGATCAAATATACAATTTTTCAGAAAATAAAATTATAAGGATTATCAGGAAGAATATTTGGCTTGCTTTTTTGAAAAGATAATAACCAACATTTTTTTGTCTTATAAGTTAGCTAGAAAACATTTTGGTACCCATGTTTGAGTATGGGTATATTTTAGCTCTAAAACTGAAATACATAATTTTCATTTTAGCGCTGGATAGTTTGAAATTATCTATTATTTGTATGGTTTTATTAATTGTGCATACAGATAGGCACAACAAAATTTCTTGAAAATCTCATTACGTTGTATTATTAATCCAAAATTGTATTATAATGAACTTTAAAACATATTTTTTCAAAAGTGTGATTTGACAAAGAATATGGCCTAAAGCTTCACTGCTCCACTTATTTTGAAGGCTTAACCATTGAAAGCTTTTCAAATGCGTTAAAAGCTCTGATGTTTCAATGGAAGTTTTAAGTAGTTTCTATTTCTGTACAGTGTATGTTATTTATCATTTTCCAATTTGGTAGAATTGCTTGATTTGAAAGAAATAAGAGACTGGTATGTTGTTTTCAATCCTTATGTGGGTACTTTTTCGTTGCAAGTTAGAATATTAACAAATTTCTTTAGTAACCATTAAAAAAATCTCTTGCGCAATTTTGAATGTTCAATCCTCATGCTATAACTGATATATATACAGTACAGTATATGTACATGTATGTAAATTTAAGTATACTATATAATATGTAAAAAAATAAAATAGAACTCTAACCTTGAAAATGCTCCAAACAGAATAATATCTTTTAAAAGTACACATAATCTTGAGTACTTTCAGATTTGTATTGATAAAGCCGGTCGAGTAGGACTCATATTGTTCTCATGTTTGACTCACCTACTTACATGAACGTTTGTGTATATTTGCTTGAGATCTACCCTAAGTCATACCAACTTGACTTGTCAATCATCTGGATTTGTGTATAAATTATGCATTTTAGGCAAAGAAAAAGAACTTGTGCTTGGAAAATTCTGTTTTTGTTACCATGTTTTTTCATATTTCTAATGGTTGTACAGTGTGTATGAAAAACTAACAAACAAATAAATCAGAAAAATTACAAAATCACTGATGACTGCATCAATTTCATTTGATGTAACACGAAGCCACATTTTTTCCTCTTCAATGATGTGTCATTTATGTGGTCATGGTTGACTGAATAATCATTCCTTTTGCACAATGGGCCAAAGTTTAAGAAATTGAACATGGGCCTGGTGCTGTACATGGAAAATCACCGACTTTGGCCCATGGTGCAATAAAGGAGTGATTATTCTGCCAACCATGGCCACATGTGAACTGGTGAATAAATGGTTTATGCCTGGGTCACATTTGCTCCCCAATTCATCAGCTGGCACCTGGCCGATTGAGTATTTTGTTCAAAATTGTATTCAGTTTTGAACAAATTACTCAATCAACTGGGCGACAGCCAATGAATCAGTGCAAATGTGACTAAGGCATTATTGATGAAAATAGGAGAAATTTGATCACTGGTTTTGTGGTTTACAATTGATTTCTTTATTGGTTTTTTCTTACACACTATGTACTTATAAGCAAAAAGTCCTGTCATCAGGATACATTAAACATGTTAAAGTGAAGGCCAAAAACAAGGCCAAAACTTAATCCAACACCTTTTGGACAACTCAAGATTGCATCTGAAGAGCTGGTTAAAAGACAAGGTCGGTCGGACTAGCTGTTCTAAAATGTGGAACCCCAGTGATCAGAAACTGGAATATTTTTTGCCTGGCCTTAAATTTCCCATGATCTACTGAGGTTTCACCTCTTGATTTTGATTGCACCATCCAATGTTATATTTTAAGTACTCAAAATTCAGAATAGACAAATAGGTCAATCGATTTCTGAGCAATGTGTCTTTTTCCATTCTTAATATAATATACCTAAAAAGATCAATGTTATCAAATTTTGAGGATTTAAAGGCCCTTTGTAAAGTTTGAAAATATTGCTTAATCATTCAAACAAAAATTAAATTGAAAAGTTTCAAAGTGGTTTTAAACTTTATACCTTGCCTTTAAAATGTAGATATCTGTAAATTCCAAAATGAAAAGAACACATAGGAAAATGACCAAGGCTGAATGAAGAGACCTGATTGGTTATGTAAGTGGTAGGGTAGTTTTGAGTTGCCTATGTCAGTATGTGATTTAAGGAAAATTTTACCTCAAAATGAAATAATAAAGCAAAAGTAAAAACCAGGAGAATGAGTCTAGTTAATAAAAATGTACATATTTGTACTAATTTATTATCACTTACAAGTAGCCATTTACATTTTCCACTAATTTTATATCTCAATGATTATATAATAATAATGCCTGTCTAACAGCACACTATTAAAAATGCCTAAATTTACAAGTAACCTAACATCTCTTTTAAAGTGTTGCCAACATTTACAAGTAATCTAGGATTGAACTAAAAGTAGTCCTATCTTAACAAGTAAATTAGTATCTTATTGATAGCAATACCCAACTTTACAAGTAAATTAGCATCTTAATAAAAGTAATGCCCAACTTTACAAGTAAATTAGCATCTTATTAAAAGTAATGGCCAACTTTAACAAGTAATCTTACATCTTATTAATCATAGAGCTTAACGTTACAATTAATCTAGCATCTCATAAGTAATCTAACATTTCAGTTAGTTAATATAAATGCCCACCTTTACAAGTAATCTAACATCTTGCTTTGTGTTTATTGTAAACACATAGTAAAAAGTATAAAAATGTCCCCAAATGCTTATATACTGTATGTTGGTGAAGTATCCTAAAAACAGGAGAACTGAATATTTTCAAATGGGCTAGATAGATTGAATATCAAATATGGAGTCAAGGAGGTAGAAAACTAGCTATCAATACAGATAAAAATATATAATGAAACACAATTTATACAGAAAATATGATAAGAGTGTTATGTAAATATTTTACAAAAGATACTTAAAGGTATACTAGAGATAGACTAAAGATACTACAGTGAATTGGTAGTATGAAGGTTGTACAGTAAAACCTGTGAAAGCGGATCACTTTTGTTTAGCTTTAAAGTGTTCCACTTAGATGTTCCTCATATAAAGGTGTTATACTTGCCAAGTTTTACTGTACTTCTGATGACCATAGGCTATATGCACTAGGTAGCATATATTTGGACCCTGAGTATAGGTATAGGCTTGCCAAGACCAAATTAAAGACATTTACTAGTACAGAAAAATCTACAAATCTAGATCTTCTAAACATGTATAGTACACAAAATGGATATATAATACTGTTATGTATGTATGTCCATATAGGCTCTGTTGTATATATTATTTATAATATGTATATGTTAATGATTCAGATCAAGTGATTGACAATAGATGATGCATCTTATCTATTCTCAACCACAATTCTTAAAACACACAGATCCTTCTTCCAGCTTTTGCATCTCAATTTTACATGTTATGGCACAAGTGTCTCATGATGTCTGTGCATTGATGTTATGGTTTACTTACAGTCTGATTATTTACATGAAAACGTAGCTGACGCTTATTTTATGAAACAGTCACCATCAATGTTTTATTAAACTACATTCGTAGCATCTTTTGAAAGATTGACTTTTATACTTGAAAAGCATCTTCCGAAAGCTTCAAACAAAGGCGCTAAGAATGCATTGATGAAACCAGCATAGAACTTTCTACCAATTCCCAACTTGATGTTGTAAGCTTTGAGACATGGCATACAGCACCAGATTGTACAGAAGGACAACGCAGCAAAGTAAAGACCCCAGCAGATGGCAAGTGGAAGGCCTAAGATAAGAGCAATGATTCTGTAGCACCACAGTTTGGAACAGCTAAATGCCTGGAAATATAGAATGGTTTACTTGATATTCATAATATAAAACTGTTATTTAAAATTGTTAAAAATTTGAATTATGCCAACTTGTTGCCAATTCAAAATTGAAGCCTTTGAAATATAATTTTGTGCCAACTTGTTGCTAATTTGATAAAAATGTTAAAAATAAAGCCTGATGAGAAAAAACTTCAAAGTCAAAAATACATCCACTTAAAGATAAGAATAATGTTCCATTTACATGGCCTGGATGGTTTGTGATTGTCTCATATAACTCTTTCTCATCAATATTAATTCCAATGTTTAAGTTTTTACTTCAGCTGCTTATTACATCAATTTATGAATTTTGCTTTCATGTTTTTCAGAAACAAAGAAAGAGTGACATCAATTGAAGCATGCATGCTGACATGAAACAATGTCAGAACTTACTATTGATGATGAGCAAAGTGCCTTATACAAAACGCTGTTATATGAACAACTTGAAAACAATTGAAAAAATGGCACTGAAACAGATTTCCTTCATATACCTTTATGATTTATCGCCATCTGTGAATACATCTAAAAAATACACTGTATACATAATAGATGTCACCCTTAGCTTATGACTTTATATCTTGGACTTACCCTATAACTGAACACCCAGACATTGTCAAAGCTGTATGTTCCAGCATCTGGTTCTGCTACAACATCTGTGAACAGGAGCTGCAAGTAGAAACATTAAGAAGTCCTATAGTATAGAAGTGTATGTTTCCAATGTTACTCAAACCAGGACATGATATATGTATAAACTATATTATAAATGTATACGTCTTTGATGTCATTTATATCCAGTGATGTAATATCATGAGGAGTATAAAATCTGCATCATACAATACAATAAACAGTTTGGCAATGTGGTTATGCTATAAATTAGAGCAAATAAACTGAATAGATTGTATTACAAGATTGTGTTTTTTGAAGAATGTAAACACAGGCCACCAGGCAAGATATAGAACAGAACAGAATTGTATTAAGATTTAGACATGTAACAAGATAAATTTACAATTTTACAATATGAAGAATTTTAAAGTACATGTAATACGTTGATGAAACACCTTTTATAACACAACACAAAAACAGTGAAATACAAAATCCAATAAACAATGGAACTAATATTAATACAAAAGGTGCAGAAAACAACAGTATACTTGTACACTATGAATTTCAAATCAATATGTAAAACAAATGTTTCCTTCTAAGATTTGGATAGGATGCTAGTAGTGGTTCCACTAACTTGAAATTAACACCACACCGAAAACACAATTTCACTTAATTAGATCTCAAGGGACACACTCTATCGTTAAAACTGTCAAAACTAGGATTTCATATACTCTAGGGGAATGTAGCTTATTCATTCATTCTCCATCAATTAATCTTTTCAAAACCATTGAATAAAGTGAGACATATGAACATTATATGTGTAATGTGTTATGGTCAGTCCGTAAAGATATTAATTATGAAGAATATGATCTATAATATGGTATTCCTTAGCCCATCCAAACATGATTAAAATTGATATTGACATTCAAATTGATATTCTTTAAAATCTCAAACTAAAGATAACCATGCTATTGTGGATTTGGATTGTAATAAAGGTTTCTGAATCTGAAAGGGGTGAAGACCATGTTTTATATACTATAAATCATTGTTTTGGATGTTGGGGATTTGTTTCTCTAAGTCTTTTTCCATTTGTCTTTTTTTATAATCTTTTTTACCGTTAGGACATTTTTTAATATTTAATAGCGAAACACGTATACATCTTTAGATATACATATAGACAACCACACTGTCTAAACTAACATCTTAAAACCACAAACTAAACTAATTATTAATGACATGAGTTTACAACTGACTGACTATTTTATGGATGACACAAACATCTCTACCAACAACACATAAAATAAAGCATATACTATAATTTCATTTATACTTACACCCTTGATGCATAAATGAAAATAATGCTGTTAAGTTTAACAAAAAACACTGGAGGTTTTAAATGTTTAAATATAGAATTCTTGCTTTCAAGGTAAATACTACTTCTTGTAACATTTTCCAGATACTGGCGCACACTCTACACTTCAAACACATGATAACTGGAGAACTCTTTTATCAGAGGGTTTGCTCAATAAACTGCAAGTTAACTGTGTAATATTATATCTATGTTGCTGAAAACTACACCCCTATCCTTGGCATACTTATTGGATATTTATTTGTTTTACTTGGTGTGTACATTTTTACACACCAGTTGTTGCTCCGAATATGTACATTATCCTTGAGTTATATGATAGAAGTTTTTAAATTGAATTAATTGGTTTTCATGAATATTTATTTGAATTCTGGGTATGTAAATTTTAAATATACAGAATCGCATATGCACTTACCAATAGAGAGAATTATTATACCTATAATTTTATTATACCTATAATTATTATGAATAGTAATGTTGTTTTTTTGATTTATTACATTGTGATTTTGCTTGTGTACTTCCTGAAATATATGGGTCACTCCACATGTGATTTCCAAATATGCAGCAACTTGATATGCAATGGAATTTACTAATTCTACGTTCTGAATTCTGTCAAACAGAGCGAATTAGCGTTGTCTCTACAGGATAACAGTTGCATTACATACACAGGAATTCTGTTGGATAAAGCCAAAACAAAAGTCACAGAGAAGTAAAGAATATAAAAACCGAGAAAACAGAAACAGCTCTAGCAGTTGATTAATAGGTTGCAGTGAATTTTCTGATGATGTGGTTTGGCTATCCACAAATCATGTTGGATACATAAACATATTTTGTGAAATTTAACATGTGATGAGTGATCTATCACCAGCTAAGTGAGACAGATAGGCACCTATGGAAGTGCTAAGATATACAAGAATATGGTACACAAGGACAGATCCATGACTGATGCATACCATCTCTCATGTGCAACCCTACCTGCATGATCTATTTTTACAAGAATTTTCAGATAGAGAACTCTGGAATGGTACCCTTTCCATTAGTTTGATTTACTAATGTACTAGACTGACATTTAGGGCACTAGATTGGTTAAATATAGGATTCATATGGCTTACGGGATTTTGTATTTTGTTTTCAAATGTTGCTTTTTGTGCATATAATTGAATTGTGAATTTCTTGCACATTTTGTAAAATTAAAAATAAAATAGAGTAGTGTAGTGAGTGTAAAGGAAAATCCCTTTTGGTCTAATATTTGAATAGTTTTTACAGGCATCTCGAGGATATGTATTAAAAATTATTCCTTTTGGTGAATGGTCGGATTGATGGATGTAATTCAGCTGCTTATCAACCTTGGTCTTTCAACCTAATGTTTTAGAGTAGAGTATATAGTAACCTAAACCATCCCAGGGACGCTAGTACTCTTTACACATATTTCAGATGGGTTCACTTGGTTCTAAATACCTAAATCTATTCTTTGAAGTCTGACTGTAGTTTACTAAAACACCAAAATATTAGAAGTGCACGTTCAAGGTAAGACGCCATGTAATACCAAACAGAACTTGATGTATTTAGGCCAATGGTTAGCTTTGTTTCCAAACATGAATGTTGTACAAACATCCATGAACTAATTGTACATCTGGAAACCAATTTGGCAAGGAACACCCATACTTGTTTCATTTAGAGTAAAATAACTATGAAAGTTATTGAGTATCCTGAGTTCTACGTTATTACTCAAAGTAAGATTGTTGTTCATGGATGGGTTGAAACTATTAACACAATTTAAAGTCCCATAAACAAGATGTCAGACTTTATCATGGGACCTTGACTTTTTATATCTTCTAAGCAAGATAAAAAGATAATTAGTGGCCTGGGGTTACATTATGCGCAACATAAGAACCACTTTTTCTAATGAGGCGAGGCTCATCATGATTGAGTCTTTATGAGGCATCAAGAAGAAACCGTAAACCTACAAAAACATTGTTCAAAGATGTGATCATATACAAACAGAGTAACAGAACAGATTTATCATTCCTCTTGTGTTACAGAAATAATACTGCATCAGAAGTAAGGTTTGTGGGTCCTGTCAACAGCAATTATTGTCCCTACTTTTATTTATGGACCAGATACCCCATCGATACCATCACTCACACAGGCGAGCGTGTCAGACCTTTCCTACAGAACATCAACCATTAATACTATGTAAGTGGATCGCCCTTGGTACAATGCTACCCAAACCAAACCCCTACTAACCCCCTTAAAATGATAGATATGAGTTGTAATCACACTAAAATACATTAATATTGATAACCTGTGCGCATTTAAAAAAAGAGATCTTATGATAAGAATGAATGGGGTACAAGGTTGCGGTATTAAATGGTCATATAAAAACTGAAGAATGCACACCCTGTGTGTAACATAAACCTGGATATTTGGTACATTAATCTCCTGTCTAATCGGGTCTACCTAAAATTCACCAGACACAACCTTTCATTCATAGTAACATTCATCAGCTGCAGTTTATTGTTTTGTTTTATTATCCCACCGAATGAAGCTCGTGTATGGATACAGAGAACACAACCGTCCGTTCGTTCGTTGTTCGTTCATCATTGACGTGTTTAGTCACACGATTTGCCTCAAATTCTAAAGGAGGATGCATTATATTGGCATTGAAACTCTGCTTGTGAAATTATTTCCAAAAGGGCCACCACATTTTTCAATTACCTGAATATAGGTAGGTTCTGCTGAAATGATAATGCGTTATATGTGGTGGAGTTTTTGCCAAAATATAAATGCTATTGCATTGTTATTTTTAGCATGACATAGTCATTTGAACTGGACAATGGACTGGAATAAACATGGTTTGATATGAATATATTTATGGCTCCCCTCTAGTATTCTAGTTTTAGTAGCAAATTTGACTCCCTGAATATCAGCTCCACAGATGTTAAACATCTGCTGATTAACACATCATGCTACATCACCTTCGGATCACATCTCATCATGTCAATTCGCTGGTAATTGATGGGTTTGTCAGTTATCTACAAATTGTTTTGAAAAGCACTATTAGCCAACAGATTGTGTTATTCTTGCCATTCACCACATAGGATGGTGATAGATTGGTCAAGCAGGTGAAAGAAATTATGCGGATCCATGTGAGGCATAGTGAAGGATGCATTGGAATGTGATTAACATTCCATACATAGTTCCAAACGGCAAACTAGTATCTGTATTATCATTAATAAAGCATCTATTCAAGACATACCAAGCCATCGCACTGTTCATCCCATTACACATGATAGATTGACTGATAATACGAAGTGTATTTCCCTTTTTGTACCAGGCAGAAAATGCGTATGGGGAACGATATTACCCACCATAAACTAGTAACAGACAAGCCAAATGACATCCCTGCACATGCGCTAGTCAGATCAAACGAACTTGACCATTCTTGATTCTAGGTGGCCTGGGTGTTTTAGAGTGAACTGTATACATTTTGACAGGAGCCACACGCATATGGCATACGTCTCCCATAAACATGTTAAACGGCTAAATTGTTCTGAGAGACAGAGAGCATAACTTCTCTTGTACATGTAAAACCGCCACATAACACGCAATCCATGACAAAAAATAGTAATTGTTCTTCAACAGAATAATTCCTAGAATACAGATTATTGGAAGTTTATTTTATTTAGTTCTTTTG